TTCTCGTTTCACAGATGAGGAAACTGAGGCCCAGAGAGGGTCATTGACTTGCCCAAGGTCACACAGCTGGGAAGTGGCAGGGGCCCAGTCTCTCGCTGCTCAGAAGTCTCCAGGACTTTCTCCCCAGAAGCCCCAGGGCTGTCCCTGGAGCCTTAATGGTTTTGCTGGGGCCATACCCACTTTCCTCTGAGCCGGAGCCCCAGAGCCTCTTTCTCTGATGGCACAGGAAGTGAAAAATCTGTGAGTCAGTCCCTCTGCCTGTGACTTCACTTGGCTTCCCGCCCCTCGGCAGCCAGGCATCGTAGGCCCCTTTCCTGTGGGTCTGTGTCATGAGAGCTGATGGGGGAGGGGGAGGTGCTGGCCCTGAGTGTTGCCTGGGGGTGGGGGCTGTCGTGGAAGCTGCCCATCCCCTCCCCCCAGGGGCCTGCCGTGACTTCTCGTCTGTCACGTGGTGGCAGCAGTGGCCCCTTAGGAATGTGGGGAGACCACATCTGGCTGGGGCGGGTGCTGCCCCCTCCCCCTCCTGGCCGTTGGCCTCACATGTGTGCTCCTTCTGCTAAGATGGTGGCTGAGGCCCGGGATCTCGGCTGCAGTGTCGTTTTGTGGAGTCATTTCCTCTCCCTGCCCCCATTGTCCTGACATCTCTGCCTCCCCTCCTGGCCGGCCAGCCGGGGCGGGGGGTGGGAAGGTGTGTGGTGCTGTGGGAAGTGGGAGAGGGAGGGTTTCTCCTCCTCACTGCTCTCTCCCTGCCCTGGCTGTCCCTCTCCTGGCCTGGCCTCCCCCTGGAGAGGCTCTGGAGCCAGTGGATGGAGCTGAGGGGGAGCCAGGGCTGGGAAGTCGGCTCCCGGGAACCCCCAGGCCGGGGCGGTGCAGACGAGGATGTTCCAGGCAGAAGAGCCCTGGCTGGGGAAGGGCGAGCAGGAGGGCTGAGGAGTGATTGCAGCTTGGGTTCATTCATTCATTCATCATTCATTCAACAAATCCATGCAACAGCTATCTGACACCTTACCAAGTGTGGGTGGGTTTTAGGGGCAGGGAGTGTGCAGCGAGACTAGTGATGGTAACCATAACCAGTTCTCTGCACTAGTGGAAGGGCTGGACCCCCAGCTTTAGACCTGGTTCCTCCGATGACTTGTATGATGGCACCCCTCCCTGTGCCTCTTTTCCCACCAGAACAGGCATCTTACCCATGTCTCCTCCACGCCCGGACAGGCCGGGGCACAGGGTGCCTGAGACTCCCTGAGATGGGTGCTGGAGGGCTTCGCCGTGCTGCCCACACACTCGTCCAGGTTCACTATTCGTAGACTCCACGCTCTGAGCCCCTGCGTGTCCTTGGCATTGGCACAGGGGCCCTCCAGGACTGCCTTTGTCCTCGCCCAGCAGCCTGTCCCTGCCGCCATGCTGTGGATCACGCCCCGTGGGACTCCAGGGGCCTCCGGGGCTGTGTGTCGGCCCCTTCCTCCTTGGATCCTGATGTCACACTCAGTTCAAGGCTCGAGGCAGTGGGAGATATGAGCACCGGTCACCAGAGGGATGGGAGTGACTGAGTTGCGGGGGCAGTGGGCTGGGGCCAGGAGACATGCCCTGAGGTCCAGCCCAGCCGGAACCATCGGTGGCTGGGGGCCAGGAACCATCGGTGGCTGGGGGCCAGTCCCATGTCGGTGAGAGAGAGTGGGGATAGAATGGTTTTTCTTGAGTGCCCCTGGGTGTGTTGGGCCCACCCTTGTCTCATTTACAGGCAGAGGGACCCAGGCTCTGAGAGAGGGAGGCAGATGCTGGGGTTCAGAGTCATGTCCCTCCACTCTCCTCATGAGTTCTGGCCTGGGCCGGGGGAGTGGGGGGCCCTCTGCCATTCACTCCTGCGCGACCCGGGTCCTGTTTCCTTATCTGTACACTCAGAGGTTTGGACGAGTGAACTCTGGTCCCTTCCAGCCTCCTCTTTTGGAGATTCTCTGAGTCTCAGTTTTCCCCTGTAAAATAGGAACAACCCCCCTCCTAGCTGTGTGATGTTGGGTGACAGTTTTGGATGGCAGCTTCTTCATCGGGGTGGAGGGGGGGTGTGCCTGGGAAGCAGGTGCTGCTATTTCAGAGCCCACAACATGGTTGACCCGTTTTCGGTTCAGCTGCGTACTCCCTCCCCAGGCTGCGTTGCAGTGAATGTGGGCGTCTGGGCGCCTTAAGCAGCACATCCCCCGTCGTCCCCTCACCCCAGTCAGCCCGAGCAGCTGAAGGGCAAAGCTCTTCTGCATTGTCAACATCGGCCAGGTTTCCCGCCGTGGTGGGGAGGGACGTCAGTGCGGGCAGCGGATTCAGTCTGTCACGCCAGCTGCCGTCGACATGCGGGGGTCTGTCCTCCATCTCCTGGGAGCAGGCACGCCGGCTGCCCACCCAGCCCCGCTTTGGAAATAAAAGGCTCGTGAAATCATTTGTGCAAGCTCATGTGCTGGGGTGCAGTTTAGAAACAACTAGCGAGGTGTGGGCCGCTCAAAGTGTCGTCTGCAGGGGAGCTCATTGGAAATGCAGCGTGTCCACCCCACCCCAGACCTGCCGGATCTGGGTCTGCATGTGAACAAGATCCCTGGGGATTCCTGTGCATATCACGTGTGAGACTTGCTGCTCTAGAGCATGGGCTGGGCTTGAGTCCCATCCCTGCTTACTGGCTGTGTGACCTTAGACAAGTGACCTCACCTCTCTGAACCTCAGCTTTCTCATCTGCAAAATGGGTTTGGAGGAAAAGTCTTTACCCAAGAGGGTTAATAATTCACAGGAAGGCTGATGAGATATGAGTACAAGGCATGGACCCCGGTGTGTGGGACCCAGACCGTGCTCGCCAATCAGTGGCTGCTGACTTGTCTAGAGAGCCAAAGACATGGCTTGTGTTCTCGCTCTGGGTTGACTTGGGACAAGTTGCTTTTCATCTCTGGGTCTCAAGTTTCCCATCTGTACATTGGGTCTGTTGACCCTGCCCCACCTTCCTTGTGGAAAGGTTGCTTAAGGAAACGTGAGGGGGGGCTGGGCCTTGTTCCCAAAAGTCCGTCTGGGAAATGGGTGTGTGTGGGTGAGATGCCCCTGGGCGCTGCGTCTTCACCCCTCGCTGCCCCCTGCTCTGCTGCTGCTGCTGTTGCTGCAAGACGCAGTAGCGAGGCGGCCCCAGAAGCCAGGCTGCAGCCAGTGCCACCCCTGGGCCCTCCCTGGCCTCTGCTCTGCTCAGCGGCTTTGGAATGGAGTCCCCAGCCCCCCTCAGAGCAGCCTGGCCAGGAGAGATGATTCAGCTCGGGGCTGTGTTCTGGGCCTTGGCCTCCCCAGATGCCCCGTGCTGCTGGGCTGGGGTGAGGACGCCTGTGAACTTCAACCCACGCGGCGTTCCTGTCCCCCACGTTAGGCACGGGGCTGGTCTCCTGGCCTTGCCCCTGACATACTGGGTGACCTTGGGCAAATTCCTCGCGCACTCTGGGCCTCAGTTTCCCTGTTTGTACAATGAGGGTGTTCAGTCAGGTGGTCCCCCCTGCATTAGACCCTTAGGTTCTCTGGCTGGCCCCCCTTAGCTTCCTCTGTGTCTTTCATTCCTGGCAGGAGCCCCAACCCCACTGCCCGTTAGGTTCTAGACCTTGCAGCCCACGGTAGATCTAGGCCTGGCCGCCCGTGCTGGGGGCTGGTAAAGACCACGGGGAACTGGGGAGACGGGAGCGTGTGTGTCCGCCAGGAGCCCTGGCCAGGCCCGTCTCGTCTTGTTTGGGGGAGAGGAGGAATTTTCCTCTGTGTGTGCAAACAGTATCCGTTTTCTCTTCTTTCCAAAAGCCGGTGACGTAACCCAGTCTTCATCCATTCCTCCCCTCTGGCCTATTTTTAGTTGGCCCTGACAACATCCTAAAAGGCTTCCAGACCTGCCTGCTCCGAGGCCATGTAGGGAGGCGGCCGTGGGGTGAAGAAAGAGAGGAGTTCTGTCCCAGGATGGAGGGAGGGGAGAGAGAGGGATCCCGGGTGGGGCCCTGATGGGTCCTGGGTCTGCGGGGAGCCTGGCAGGTTACGAGCTCTCAGTTTGAGCCTCCAGCCTGGGTCTGAGTCCTGGCCCCACCTGTCCTCACCATGACCTCTGACTCTCTGCCTTGCTTTCTTCACCTGTTACCTGGGGATAAGATGGTTGTTAGGAGGGTTGAATTACGGCGTGTAGCACGCTGCTTGGTACGAGGTCGGCACCCTGTTACGGTGAGCTGGTGTTGTTATGGCACCATAATTATCACCATCCCCTCCTGCCTCCAGTGCGTGCTGGGGGCGCGCTGTGAGCCCGGTGTGCCTTCTGCGTCTGTCCTGTCCTGTCCAGTTTCAACCAGCATGCGCACGAACGAGGTAATACATGGAACACCCTGGAACAGGGCCTGGCACAGAATAAGCGCTAAATGAGTCAGAGCTGTGTTTATTATTTTTTGTTTTAACGTAATAGAGCAGACCCGGGTTTGAAGTTCAGCACCCCCTACTAACTAGCTGTGTGTCTTTGGGCAAGATGTTTAACTTCTCTGAGCCTCGGTTTCCTCATCTGTAGGTTTCCTCTTTGTTGGTTAGGGTAGGTGGCAGGATTGCAATGGTTAGGGCAAGGGAAGTTTGTTTCTTTCGGGTGCAAAGAAACAAGAGTGTGGTGCTGGCTGCAGCCTGGCTCCCGAGTGCCAGCTTCCATACTGTGGCTTGTAGCAACATCAGGAGCAGCAGCATTTACACAGCACTTTACAGTTTGTGTGAATCGGGGGTGGCAGTCCCTCCCGTCTTCGTCTCCTCCTGGTGCTGTGCTCCTGCCTCGTGTGTGGCACTCGTCACCACCACCTGGTGTTATGGTTACTCGTCAACCTGGTGGGTCCTCCCCCGACCCCCCAGACCGGGAGCTCCAGGAGGGCAGGCAGGGATGGGTCCACTGGGACAGGCTGAGGGTGGGTGCTGGCTTTGTGTCTGCGGGCTACATTGGCGTGGGGAGGTCACGCTCTGACCACCTGTCCTTCTTGGTCTTGCAGGTGGGAGGAGGAGCTTGCCAAGCGCATGAACCTGCAGACCATGGTGGACACGCTGCAGGAGGTAAGAGCCCTGAGTCCCGACCGGGAGAGGCTCACCAGAGAGCCATCTGGCCAGTGGGCACAGTCCATGGGGCAAAGCTGGGGGGGCAGTTCCCAGCCCAGACCCTACTCTGTTACCTCCTGATGCCTCAGTGCCTCCTCGATGGAGCCAAGGGGCCTCCTCCACTTCTCTTGCTGTGGAGCTAGCAGGGGACCAGCACAGTGTTACAGAAAAGCTCGGGTACAGGAGTTGGGAAGCCTGGGTCCGAGTCCCGGCTTGCAGGACCTGACTGGGGGCTGGATGCCTTGGAGAGGGCGGTGGGCCTCACTGGGGGTGGCCCCCAGCCCCAGCGGGCTCTCTGTGGCGGCCATGAGGACGTTCCCTTGCTGTTCCCGGGAGCTCTGGGCCCCGCACCTCACCCACCTGCCGTGTGCCCCGGGCAGCAAACTCCACCTTCTCAGCCTCTGTTTTCCTCTAGTCAAATGGGCACAAGAACAGAGACTCCATGAGAAGGCCTGGAAAGTTCTTCCAAACATTTTAAAAAATTGCTTTCTGGAATTTAAAGTGCTGATCTTCTCAGAAAGTTAGAAACATTAAAATAATGTCAACGTATAGGAGGAAGAGGATGAACGTCCCCCTTTTATAATGAACGTGCTTTCTCCTTTATACATATAACATGCTCATGGTCAAATACTTGAACAAAACTTACTTCCAGCTCTGGCCCTCCACTGTTGATAAATCAGTGTGGGACCTTCTGGTCTTTTCTGTGCAAACACACACATACTCTGGATGTGTACATTTGGTTGGGTTGACACATGTGACTGCCATTTTTGAGATCAGAGTTGGTCAGCTATTGGCGATTTCACATGAATTGACATAGTATTTTAACTTATTGGATCCCTCCCTTGTGACATGAATCTGCTCTTTTTCTCTTAATATCTGCCATGGATTTTTCCATGCGTAAATATTCCTTTTGAGAAGGGTTTTACGCTGAGTGGTGCTCTGCAGTGAGCAGGGCTGGGTGGGAGGCCGGGCTGGGATGACGTCCTTGGCGCCCCTCCCTGGCACTCAGGCACCTGGCCTGGTTACACGTCAGGTGTCCAGGGCTCTGGACCCAGGTGTCCAGTCCCTCTTACCCCTCAGGGTGGCCAGCGTCCCTAAACCCTCCCCATCTCCGTCCCCCGTAGGCGGCACAGGAGGCAGAGGCCATCCAGGAGGAGATGAACGAGAAGATCGAGCGGCTCAAGGCTGAGCTGGTGGTGTTTAAGGGGCTCATGAGTGACGTAAGTACCATGGCCACTGCCCCCAGGCGTCACGACCCCCCCCCTCCACCATCATGCAAAATGCTTCATTCACTCCGAGGCTCCGGAGCTCAGCTTCTAGTTAGAGTCCTGGCTGGCTGCGTTTGACGTGAAGGTGACGGATGCATCAGAGACCAGGCGCCCTCCCCCACGTCCGCTTCCCTTGGTCTGAGTAGAGATGCATTAATCTGCCGCTTAACCCCTCCCGCCCTCCCGGGGCTCCTCTGATGGTCTATGTGCGTGTTTGCTCCGACTCCTGCCCGGCTCGCCGTGATGAGGGAGGGTGGTGGCCGTGGGCCTCGGTGTCTGGGCACAGGTTGAGGGAGACCCCCAGGTCTGGTCTGTGCCAGCCTGAGAGCCCCTCAGGCCAGCAGTCTTCAGCAGGGTTGCTTGTAAAGTCGGGAGAGGCCAGTGTGTGTGTCCTTTTGACGATCGGAGCCCCTCTGAGTAACCGTGGCGGGGGGAGCTGTTGGCAGCGAAGGCCTCCTTCCCGTTGGGGACCCGGGAGTCCTGCCCCCCTCACGCAGTGGGCAGTATGTAGGAAGGGCTGCCAGAAAGGAGAAGGAGCCCAAATGCGGGTGACTCAGCCTGGCCTGGCTTCTGGTCCTGAGGGTCGTGAGGCTGGCGTGTCTGGAAGAAGCCTTGGGGGCTTCAGGTGCAGGCCCCCTGGCTTCCCCTCACTGGGGTCCAAGGGGTCCCGCTTGCCCTAGGCGGCCTCCCGCTGTCAGCCATGGGAGGAATCCTGGAGAGAGAGCGCCGCCTTGGCAGGCCCCTCTGTGTGGGGACAGATGGGGCACGGGGGTGGAAAGAAGGGACGTCTTTCAACAGAGGGAGTTGTTTTCTTTTTTTTTTTGCTCTAACAAAGTAAACACTGACACTGCGTCTGCTGAGAGGGTGCCTTCCAGCCCTTAGGGAGACTGGCAAACGGTCTCACGTTGTCCACGTGGCACCAAACCTGCAGTTCCCACGTCCCCTCCACCCCTGCCCTGACCCAGTCCTTCACGCCCAGGAAAAGCTCAAGGCCCCCCTCGGCCTCCGGGGCCTCCCACCCCGCACCTGGGGGCCTCCCGCCTCTCTGTGCAGCAGGAGCCTGGGGGCGACTGCTCCGCCCCCGTGCTTGCTCCGTCCCTCGCTCACGTAACCCCTGCTGTCCTCCCTGCAGCCCATGACAGACCTGGACACAAAGATCCAAGAAAAGGCCATGAAGGTGGACATGGACATCTGTCGCCGAATCGATATCACGGCCAAGCTGTGCGATGTCGCACAGCAGCGGAACTCGGAAGACGTGTCCAAGATCTTCCAGGTGAATAGGGCCACTCCGCTCAGCAGCCGCCACGCCCACCTGCCACTGCCCCCTCTCAGGGCGGCCGCCCTCCCCCCCCTGCCTGGCCAACCCCTGTTTCCCTGACACCCCGCTCACTCCCCCTCCCCCAGAGGCAGCGTTTACCCACCCCTCTGGCCTCCCCAGGAAAACAGAATCAGGGACTCGTAGACTGGTGGGCTCACCATCACCCATGCTGACCCTTCATCCTGTGGCTCAGGAGGCCACTCACTTGGGCGGGGGTGGCGTGACGGCTTCAAGGAAGGAAAGGGCAGAGCCGAGACTGGAACTCAGGTCTCCTGACCCTCCAGGGCTCCATCCACTGGTTCACGCAGGGTCCACTGCCCCAATTCTGTGCTCTTCCTCTGGGGGCCATCGCCACATTCGGGGAGCCAGGGCCAGGCTGGGGAACCCTGGGTGAGGTGGGCTGTGCCCTGGCAGATGAGCCTCAGAATTCAGAAGAGGAGCTGTTGGCCTTTGACTGTTTTCCATTCCCCCTGAAGAGTCTGTCGGCACCCCCCCCCCCCCAAATGAGCAAGGGTGTGTGTCCCGAGAGAAGGCGAGAAGTTAGCACCGGCAGGCTGTCCTCCGGGGAGTGCTGGGGGGCTAGTCCAGCTGCCGGAAGGGCGCGCGTCATTCTCCAAAGGCTGCTTCTTGAGTTTTGGATTGTGGTTTGGCTTTTGCTTGAGCCCAGGGCAGTCCAGTGTGTTGTCGCTTTAAGTGTGTGAGTTTGTGTATAGCTGGTGAGGTCTGGGCTTCCCCGGGGCCCTTTGTCCACCTCTGTGCCTTCTCGCTGCCCCTCCCCTGGGAAGTGGGGGACGCCGTTTCAGCCCTCTTGGGTTCGCTCGAGTCTTGTCTGCTGGGAGTGGAGGAAGCTTGGTGAACCTGGAGCTGCCCACCCCTCTGCCTTTGCGTGGGAGCAGGAGGGCTGTGGGGAGCATGGGGCCGTCTGGGCCTCTCCATCTCTCTGGCTGGCTCTGAGACCTCCCAGGTGACTCTGCGCCCCGGCCTGGCCCACTGCTCTCCCGAATTCATGGGGCTGTTTCTCTGGTGAAGGGGCGAGCTGGGCCAGCCCAACCACCAGGGCAGGGAAGGGTCCAGGCCGTCTGTGTCCTCCATCCTGCATGTCACCCCCTCACGCTTCCTGCTAACGCTGCCTGCTTCTTAGAGGACCTGTGCATCTCTCCCGGCTGTGGCTGGCCCCAGCCACGCTCCATCCATCCTGCGGGAAGCCAGCTCCCTTCCCAGACCACCGCACCCTCCATCCCAGCAGAGCCTGCCAGTTACCTTGATCTCTTCCTTTCCGGGTCAGGTGGTCCCCAAAAAGAAAGAGCGTAAGGTCGCTTCGGACGATGACATCTCCGAGCAGGACGGGGAGGGGAACCGGTTCTCGGATGACGAGGTCGGCTCCATGAACATCACGGACGAGATGAAACGCATGTTTAATCAGCTGTGAGTATCGCCCTGCCCCAGCGCGGGGGGGGGTCCTCTCCACTTCTGCAGACTGCTGGGCGGGGGTGGCAGACTGGGGGCCTAGGCTGAAAGTAACCCACTGGTGTGTTTTGTATAGCCAGCATAGTGTTCTGAAAGAATTTGCATTCATTTTCAACATGTATGATTTGGGGAGTTTCACATTTTCAGAGAGGGCCAAATGGTGGTGGACGTTGGATTTGTGTGCGAGTCTTGATCAAGCCTCAGACCCACTCTCACTCGTTTCTTTGTGGTGGGAGGGCTTAGAGCTGACCCACACCGGGACCCACCACACTGGCCGAGGGAGGGCTCCCAACGTTCACTGAGCATCCTCCATCTGCGAGGTGCTTTACAAGTGTGACTCAGTGACCCCAGACAAGCCTAGGAGGTGGAGTTATCGCTCCCCTTTTGTAGATGAGGACACTGAGACTCAGAGAGGGGAAGCCACTTGGCCAAGACCATTCTGCTAATAGGTGCAGAGCTGGGATTCACAGCCCGGCCTGTCTGCCTGTGTTCTCTCACGGTGAGATGCTGCCTGGGTTAGTGACAGAGTCTGGGGCTGGATACCGTCAGTGGTGGGCTGGGGCCGGCTTGGACTGGCTCGTGAAAGCTGGTAGTGTGCATGTCTGCCCACTCTAGCTTCAGTGATGGCACATTGGTAGCTTAAAGTTTGCCATGGTGGGAAATTGGCAAATGCTACCGATCGGGGTTCCTCTCCCTGCCCCTGCGGAGCACTGGTTTACCAGAACCTCTCTGGGTCTAGGTGCCTGGGGCAGGGATGTGTGGTGGCCTTGGCCTGTCCGGTGCCATATTTCCAATCCTGATCTATCTTTAACTCTAATCCGTGTTGTACCCTAAAGTGGAGTGGGGAAAGAGGGGAGAGGTGCTTTGGATGACTTAACTAAGGGCCTGGGGTCAAAGGGCAGGGCTGAGACTGGGCCTCTGGGGTCCACCTTTCTCCCTGGCCCACTCTTGCCCGCTCTCTCTGGAGTCCCTCACAGTTGGGCACCTGGGCTCTGAGAACTCAGTTTTCCCCCAGGATCCCATTCCTCCCCATACCCATTCCCCCCTGACTCACCCATCCCCCTGCATCAGAGTCTCCAGGCTGAGCCAGCTTTCTGGCCTGATGTGCCCCCTGGAGTCCTGAGTTTCCGACAGCAGGGCTAGGGGTGAGCTCCTGCCTCCGATGAGCCATCACAAAACCTCCCAGAACCCCTCCAGAGAGCACGCTGCTGTTAGCAGATCACTCTGACATCTGCTCCTTCAAAAGCCAGGGCCCAGAGCCTCTCCTGACAAAGCTCCTGCAAAGCTCTGGGGTGGGCTTTTACAGAGTCCGAAGACCACTCCGCCCAGCCCCTTCCCGTACAGATGGGGAAACTGAGGCTCAGAGAGGGGCGCATGAGAAATGGGGACAGAGCTGGCCCTCGACTCTGGGTCCAGTGCTTTGTCCCAACCAGCTGTGTTCGTGCTTGGAAGAGATGTCCCTCCTCTGCTCTCTCTGGGACCATCCCTGCCCCGGTCCCTTTGCCCCTGAGAAAGGCGACTCTAAGGAAGACAGGAGTTGGAACTGGGCAGGGATGGGTTTGCCCGCCACTTCCCTGTACTTGCCATTCCCTTGAAACAGAACGGAGATGGGGCTGTGTTTTGTGGGTTTGCTGTTTGAGGGTGACGAGGAGACTCCTAGATTCTTGATCCATCTTTTGACATACCCCCACATCTCATATTCTCATCTCTTGCTGACGAGAGGGCCTTTGGAAGAGAACCCTGGTCGGCTCTGGGTTTTCTGAATGTTGCTCTGGGCATTTCTGAGCCTAAGGCAGGATGTACACCCCACAGACCCAGGCTGGGTTCATTTGGTCGAATGAAAGGTCTTCTCTGAAGAAGTCATTGTCCCCGTTTTCATAAAGTCCCTAGGGAATTGTTAGGCTGCCCATGAATGGAGTGAGCGGAAAGGGACAGTCCTGAGAGCCGAGTCGGGGGCTCCACTGGCAGTGCTCCTGTGTGTAGGAAAGAGCATTCCTGTGCTGCGGAAATGGTGCCTGAGTGCTGACAGGTCTGAACTGGGTGATTTAGTGTCCAATCAGATTTATCTGGTCGTAAAGTTGTCTAAGTTAAAATAACATCCTCTGATCACTCCCCCACCCTTGCAGTTCTAATCTAGGCCATGCCGACCCCACCCTGAGTGGGGCCCCGGCCCCTCCCACTGATATCTCCCGCCAGCTACTGGCTGAGACCCAAGCAGAGATGCCCAGGCCGGTTCCACTGAAGTCTCTAAATGAGGCACTCGTGTCAGGGTTGTCTTGTTTTAATCAAAATCGGTTCCTTGGGCTTCAGACCAAGGAGCAGGGGAGGAATTTGCTACTTTCTCTGCACAGTGGCCAGCCCTCCTCCTCAGCCCCGCCCTCCAGATCTATGGGGAGTGGGGATGCCTCTTCTGACCCCTTTGTCTTGTCCATCTTCCCGTCCTGTCTGGCTCCCCTATCTTCAGCTGGGATATCCTTCAGATCCCAGCCGCTGGGAAGGAAGTGAAGTCAGCAGTCGAGTATGTAATGCAGTGACAGTCAACCCCAGGGGCTCCTCTGAAGCTAGCCAGGCGCGGCGCCTCCCTCTCCAGCCCTGGCGCCTCTGGTCCCTGGACCCCGGAGCCACCTACAGGCTCCGGCAGGAACTGCTTTTTGGCGGGGACCCTGGCTCCAGGGGGCCCTCTTGGTAGCTTTTTACCAGAAATTCTTTCTTCTTGGGCCCTGCCCAGTGGCCCCCAGCCTGGTCCCTTGTAGGGAGTTTGGGAGTGGTGCCCTGGAGGACCCAGGAAGGAGCCGAGGGAGGCAGTGCAGGCAGTGGGGGGCCCTGCCACGGGAATCTGGAGACTTGGGGCGCACATCCTCCTCTGCGGCTAAGTCCCCCGGTCAAGTGATTTCACTCCTGCAGGCATAGGCTTCCATCTGAATAATGGGCGTGTTAGGCCGAATGATTTTTAAGATCCCCTCCGGTTGGGGTAATGAGTACATCTCCAGAAACCCGTTAATCCCAGGCAAACCTGTCTGCTCCATCACCCTACTTCTAGTTCTAGTGAAGAAAGAAGCCCTAAAGTCACTCAGGCTTTGAATTCAAACCTGATTTCCAGCATGTGTTGGTCTAGGAGTCCACCTAGTCCCTCTGAGCCTCGGTTTCCTCACCTGGAAAATGGGAATAATAATCAGGCTTGCCTCAAAGGATTGTTGTGAGGGTGGAATGGATTGCATTTTAATACATGCTGAGCGGCCGGTCCTTGCCCAGCACATTTGGTGCCCAGCGAGGTTTTGATGGGGAGGAAAGGGCTGTAGGAAACAGGAAGATCTGCCTGTCAGCCCCAGTTTCTGTTACAGGCTAGTCGCGTGACTTTGGACAAGTGAGTTATTCCTTCTGAGCTGCAATTTCCTCATCTGTAAAATGGGTATAATAGTATCAACCTTGCCGAGTTGCAGAGATTATATAAAGTGCCAGGCTCAAAGTAGGGGCTCAGGAAATGCACTGTTAAATGAATGGAAAAAGTTATTAGATTGACTTGGGAGGCAAATATCTTTAGTCTCCATTAATTCAAGCCAAGCATCTTAAAAAATATACATTTTAAATTGTATGAATAATATGTGAATACCTTCTGCATTTTAAAAGGGTTAACCCCAGGGGTAAGGCACATGTCCACTTTGGCCACTACCCCTGTCTTTTTAGAGGGCCGCCTTGTAGGAGCATACCCGTGGGTGGTGCCCCCCTCTCTCCCCCATCCGGACCCCTGGAGCCTGGCCTCTGTTCAGTCACGCCCTCTCGTGTCCCCCCAGGCGGGAGACCTTTGACTTTGACGACGACTGTGACAGCCTGACGTGGGAGGAGAATGAGGACACACTGCTGCTCTGGGAGGACTTCACCAACTGCAACCCATCCATCGACCTGCAGGGCGAGGTGGGCCGGGCCTGGCTTCCCAAAGGCCGGGAGGCGGGGACCGGGGCCCTCCCTTCAGTTATCCCTTGTCCCCGTTCTTTCCCTGCAGCCTCCACCACCAGCTCAATCGTCCCCTTTGTTCTCTTTCCCCAGCAAGAGGAAAACCTGGGCAACTTGATCCACGAGACCGAATCCTTCTTCAAGACGAGAGACAGGGAGTACCAGGAAACCATAGGCCAGATCGAGGTGAGGGTGTGGGCTGTGGAGCCCCCGGGGAAGCTCCACTGAGGCCACAGGGTTGAGACCCCCGGTGGTCAAGTGCCCATGTGTGCAGGGGCGAGTAGAGGGGGGCAGGCCCAGGATCAGGAGTCAGGAGGCCTACCGATTCCTTGCCTGGCGCTGGGCAAGCCATACCCCTCTTAGGGCTTCAGTTTCCTAATCTGTAAAATGGGGGTGATGATCCCTGTCTGCCCCAGAGAATTTTTTTTTGTTCCTCAGCGTAGATGGTGATCCCAAAATAAAGAGAGCTGACATTTGAGTGACATCATTTGAGTGATGCTGGGCACTAGTAAGCCCTTTGAAGTCCACCCTCCCTGGTATCCACATGCTGTGTGTGTGCCCAGAGGTCCCTCGGAGCCTCCACCTGGTGCAGTAGGCACTGTGTATCCCGTTTCACAGAGGAGGATGAGGTTAAAAGAGACCAAGTGACCTGCCCAAGGCCTCAGCCAGGAAGCGGCCTTCGAGCCCAGTTCTCTCTGCTCCAGAGCCTGTGGACTTGGCCACGTCTATTCCTGAGAGTCATTGCTCTGGTCACGCTTGGGAGAGAGAAGCAGGCTCCTTCCCTGGGGGGGGTGTATCATTTGGTAGAGGAGAAGGTCAGAAACGTGAAAGAGACTCGAGGACTTTTCTTTTTTTTTTTTTTTTTTAAAGATTTTATTTATTTATTTTTCCACCCAAAGCCCCAGTAGATAGTTGTGTGTCATAGTTGCACATCCTTCTAGTTGCTGTATGTGGGTCGCGGCCTCAGCATGGCCGGAGAAGTGGTGCGTCGGTGCGCGCCCGGGATCCGAACCCGGGCCGCCAGCAGCGGAGCGTGCGCACTTAGCCGCTAAGCCACGGGGCCAGCCCTCGAGGACTTTTCTAACCAAGTCCGTAGAAAGGAGATGCCGGGCAGGGTGGAGTTGGCAGAACCAGGTGGGGGCCCATCAGGGAAGGCTGGCCCTGTGGTTGCTAAGCAACCAGTCCCCTTTCAGCAGAAGCAGTTCTAGAGGCCATGGACCACTACGCAGAGAGCAGAGAGAGGATTGATGTCCACGAGGCAGGGCCCTGAGGGTGTGGGGGCCAGGGGTGGCCTTGATGCTGCCACCGCCGAGGTCGCGAGGAGGGAGGTTGCTGAGGTTCTGCTACAAGGGTGACTTGGCCTGACTCTTACCCGTGTTGGTTCCTCTCAGCTGGAGCTGGCCACAGCCAAGAGCGACATGAACCGGCACTTGCATGAGTACATGGAGATGTGCAGCATGAAGCGTGGCCTGGACGTGCAGATGGAGACCTGCCGCCGTCTTATCAAAGGCTCCGCAGACAGGTACCCCGTCTTGTCCTCCCTGGGGACTCAGTGGTTGGTTGGGTTCTTGGGGGGAATTCGTGGGGCTGAAACTTACAGCCTGGCCTGTTTCATCTGCCCAGCCCATCCACCTAACCCTTCCGGGCATCCATCCATTCATCTGCCCATCCATCCATCCGTCCATCCAAGCATCCAATGGATATTAGCCACCTACTATATGCTAGATGCCTTACATATTAATTTCACATAACTCCCACAGCAACTGTGCCCCCAGTGATTCAACAGTTACTTGTCAAAGGCCTGCTCTGTGCAAGGCTATGGGGATACAGTGATGAACAGAACAGTCACAGCCCCTGTCTTCAACGGGCTTACACCCCACTTTCTGCTGAATCGGCAGCTGGAGGGAGTGGGCAGGGCCCTCCTCTCCACCGTTGCTGATGGGGCTCGCATTTGTCCATAGGAAGCCGTTTCCCTTCCTTTCCCAACTTCCAACCCAGGGCTAAGTGGGTCTGTCCCAGGAGACTGACATGCATCAGGCCCCTTTCTTTGCTGGGGGACCCCAAAACAAAGATAGAGCCCCTGCCTTCAAGGAACATGCAGCCTCATTGGGGAGACAGACATGCTAATAATAAAATGAGATGATACATGTGAAATGCTTGGCATAAAACACAAGTGTATGTTAATTGTAATTTTGTTTCTCTTATTATGAATGTATTCCTGCAGGCCATGGTTCAGGCCATAAAAGAGGCAGAAGCTCCGTGGGAAGCTGTGTGTGTGGCCCTAGGCTTAGCATGACATCCATTTAACTCACTGAATCCTCCAGAACCCACTGTTGTTATCTCCATTGTTCAGATGGAGGAGTGGACACTTAGGAAGGTTAAACAGCTGGCCCAAGGTCCCCCAGCTCATCAGTGATAGACCCAGAATTCGAAGCCAGTGCTATTAACTGCTATCCAGTGTGGCCTCCCTTTGAGCTCTGAGTTAATTGGGGTTTACTGAGCATCTCTATGTGCCCAGACCTGTGTTTGGTGGTTGGAGGGTCAGAACCAAGCTTGATCCATGGTCCCTGCTCCCGAGGAGCTCTTAGCACCCAGAACTATGAGAGGCTAGTGCAGGGGGTCCCAAGAGGTCTTGAGGGCTACTTTCAACGCGTGAGCTTAGAAGATTCTAAGGAAAGCAGAGCAAGGGCGAGGTGTCAGGGCAGGATCCCCTGAGGTTAGATTTTACAGGAGTGGCTGCTCGGCCTGTCTCGCTCCTTGAATCCCTTCAGGGGTCCGCAGGCTACCCTCTGACCGCCCCCCATTCTATCGTGCCTTCCAGGAATTCACCGTCCCCCAGCTCTGTGGCCAGCAGTGACTCAGGAAGTACAGACGAGATCCAGGACGACTTTGAGCGGGAGGCGGACGTGGAGCCCATGGTCAGCTGATGACCGAGGCCCCCGTGCCTGGTGGTCTTGGTGATGGGGCCTCTGCCCCTTTCTCCCCGTGGGGCCAGGAAGGCTCCTCGGAGTGGGGCTCCAGTCCTCACCATACAGACTTCCTCTGCCCTCCCTTGTCTGGAGGCCCTGAGGGACCGCTGCTTCCTTCCTTCCTTCCTTCCACCCCACCACCAACCAGTGCCCCTTCTCCATCCACCCACCCAAGGAATGGTGCTGTCAATTTCTATTGTTCTCCACATTACAAATGCAGACTTCTGTCCGGACGATGCAGTGTTAACTGTGCCTTTTCCCTTAAGCTGAGCCACTTTGAGCTCCAAAGAATTATTCCTTGCAGGTGTTTTTATACAAAACTCTAGGTGAGGGCGGGGCCCCCGGGCATGGTATAACGCAGATTTTCTACCCTCCCACCTGCTCCTCTGATTGGCTGTGAGCTATGCCCTCCCCTCCTTTTGCTGGCCAGCGCTGACCAAGCTGCGCTTGGAGTGATCTGCCTACCCCCAGGAAGGAGCTGTTTGCTTCTGCAACCTTCCCAGGCCTGGACGGGGACCTCCCAGGTGTTCTTCACTTACCGAAAGAGAGAAAAGATGGAAGGAGGGAGGGAAGACAAATTTTTATTTTCTTTTTGGATCGAGTGGCAAAGCGGAGGGACAAGGCACTGTGGGGGAAGGTGGAGCCTCACTGTGTTTAAACTACTATGCAAAAAACAAAACCAACAGAAAACAGCAGCTTGCCTTATATCATTGTGGAAGGTAGGCCCTCTCCCAGACCCCTGGTTTTCCTGGGAGGGAGGCCAAAGCTAAGGCAATCTCTCTCGCAGCCTCCGAGGGTGAGCACTGACTCGGAGGGGGTGCAGTCAAGGTCGGTCGCGGGGCCTGGCTCCTGCAAGGCCCTCGGTCACCTGACTGCTTGCTTTCTTGGGACTTCTGTGGGTTGGGGGGGTCTTTTATTGCCCTGATGACTTGATGTTTTTCTGTCCCTTTCCAGCCAACGATAAAGGGTTGCAGATCTCTAATTTCTCTGTGAGAAAGTCTGAAGAGGCCAGGCCTGGTATCCACCTCTCCACGGTGGAGCCGGGTCAGTACCGCCTGCCGCCATCTTGGTTCTCCACTGTCTCCCAGTCGCCTGCTGTTTGGCCATTGGTAGACACTGGAAAGGGAAAGGAAAGGAGGCAGCAAGGGCTGCTGGTGGATCAGAGGTGGCAGGAGTGGAGCGGGAGTGAGAACCATCCTTGTTCTGCTCACAGGCACATGCAAGCCTCTTTCCATACTTCACTTGGTTGACTGACCAGTTGGGGAGTTAATCTGAGCCAGTATCTCCCCAGGACTGGAGTGGGCCCGAGTTGAAGGGCGCTGTGTCGAGGCCACCCGCCAAGTCTCAGCTTGGAGCCAGCTGAGCAGGCTTTGCTTTTTTTTTTTAAATTTCTTTTTGTACCCACTACCGTGGGCTTTAGTGCTGATTTTTGTTTTCGTTGGCCCAGGAGCTCCCCCTGGAGGTCAAAGGAGCAAAATGTGCCCGAGGACCAGACCTTCCCACCTGCTGCTTCTGTCTGCAGGCAGAGGAGGGCTCTAGCTTTGAGTAGGATGTGGCCCTGTCCTTCCTCCAGGGCACCGGTAAGGGCCTTCTTTCTCTTCCATTCCCTTACCTATTTTTCAGTCTTAAAACCATTGTACATAACATTCATATAATATATATGTGGAGAGAGTGAGAGAGTGTTAGTGACCGTGTGTCATTTTTATTTATCAGAACTTGGTGGCCTTTATTGTGAATTTTTTCCTCTTTTTTTATGTTGAGGGGACCTCCTACTGGTTCCCAGTGGCAGTCTGGCTGAGAGGCTTCCATTCCCAGCGTCTCTGATTGGCCGCAGTCCCTTGGTGGTATGTGGAGGGACGATGGTTTCAGAGGAGAGACAGCCCTTCCCCTCCTCCTCACTGACCCTTGTTCTAAAGGTTACAGGGTTCAAACATATTCGATTATTATTGTCGTTATTGTTATGTTGTTTTAGTTTTAGTTTTACTTTAACCAAAGGTTATCAGAGCCAGTTGGGCTTGGACCTCAGCTGCTGAAAAGATTTTCCGTTTTTGAGATGGGGGAGATGGCCGCCCCCGAGGGCCTCCTCAGTCCAGGCCTGCAGGAGGCATCGAATGGCGTGGTTAGGCGGGCAGACTGGAAGCCAGCCTTGGGTTGTTTTTTAAGGTGGTGGGAGGGTGGCAGACGTATCGTTAGGGTTAAGACAGTAAGGCAACAGTGTAAGTATTGGGGGTAACTAGGTGGCCGTGGCGACTGGTGGCCAGTGGTATTATTTGTGCTTTCCCCCTTGTATACATAGGATGTTTGTCTTTGGGGACTGGGGTACTCTGAATCTGTCCAGGGAGTATGGAAATGGCAGGAGCCAGAGACATACGTTGGCTGGAAAGTTATTCCTCCTGGTTTTTAATAGCTGCTCTCCCCTGGGGAGCAAAGATTTGGGGCAGGTGGATGCAGGGGGGCAGCGAGAGTGTGGTGACCAGCCTCCTGGGTGGGGTCCTGGGTCTTGGCCTGGACCAAGGCCTGGCTGCCTCCCTCCCCACCACTTTTTTTTTTTGAGTTAGTTGCCAGTGGGCCCTGCTTGTCCCCCGCCAAGAGCCCACAGCTTGCCAAGAAAGACCCCAACGCTCGCTGGGGCAGCACCAGGTCCAGTTGGGACAAACTGGTCCGTCCTTTGTAAAGCTGTAAATACTTAATATTGGTTTTCTATTTCTAAGCCCAGTGTCATATTGACATTGGTATTTTGGAATTGTTCTCAGATGGGCTCTCCTGTGCTGCCCTCTTTCACTCTCCTATTTTGGGGGGGTTTATAAAAAGAGAGGATTGGGGAGGGGCAGGGAGAGTAGCTTCCTTTTGGCTCCCTGGTTGTGGAATATGTGCACGCATACACACACACACAAATACACACACACACACTCTTCTGAGACTCCGAACAGGGAAAAAAATTATTGGCAGGTACACACATTTTGTTTTCTTGTAGCAATATGTCTTGAGGTCTCTGAAGGGCCAGTCCATCATGGACTTAGCCCCTGGGTGTCCTTCAGATGACCTATGGAGAATCAAACCACTTTGGCTTGGGGTGGGGAAGAGGGTGTGGGGTAGGGGATAATATAAGGTATAACTTAAGCTAAATGTAATCTATTTATAAAGCAAGAGTCTCTCATCTATTTTTATGAAAGGAAAGGTTTTTTTAATCTAGGGTAGGCAGTTGTGGTAGCCCAGCATTTTTCTGTGGACAAGATGCATGTTGCTGCTGGATTTAATATAATCAGTACCCATCCCCATCTCCCAGTCCTCACCGCCTGCTCATCTACACCCGTGAGCAGCTTCAGCAGAGTGCAAGTCCCACCTCACCCCATTTCTCTGTTCCCTGCTCCCTCAGCTCTCTGGTCCTTGGAAGTCTTAGTGGGGAGGGTACTTGTGGGAGTAGGTGGGCAGTGAGGAATTCAGAATTGGGAGGGGGAGGGGTACTCCGTGGGCAACAAGCCCTGCTTTTCAGAGGGTGGGCTCTGATTAGTTCCTTGAGCTCTGGTCTCCCGAGATCCATTTCCAAGTCAGCTGTGTTTGGGAGCGAATTGAGAAGCAGCAGAGCGTGGGCAGCAATGGGGCTGTAGGTTCAGGGGGCACACGGCTCCTTGGGGCCTGGGCCCTAGTGGGTCCCAGGTTGTCAGGCACTTGGAAGAGGAGAGGAAATGCTGTGACTTGCTCGTAGCCCAGCCCTGGCTGTGCCCGCTCCAGGCCCGGGCCTGGGCTACAGTCCTTGATGTGCTCCTCCAGGGTCCTGGTTAAGGAACTAGGGTGCTGGGGGCTTCCCCAGACCTGAGTCATCCACCTTGAGACACTGAGCTTGGGTTCTAGAAGGGCTGTCTCCTAGAGTGGGGAGTCTGCAGGTGGCCGGTGGGTATGGGTAAAGGCAAATTCTCTCTGGAAGGGAACTTTCCATGGGTGGAAGCTTTCTAGGCTCAGGATGGGCTGTGTGTTAGTCTTGGGCAAATCCCTCACCATTCCCCTTGCCAAGCCCGAAAAGAAATGAGGCAAAGGAAACTGCTCCCCACCCCCCAAGACCCATTCATGGACATTTTAGCATCAACCTGATTTTTAGCCTCATCCAGGGAGACTTTGTATCCTGCAGTCCCATCCCACCCCACTGTTGCTGTTTGTCTGCCAGCTGGGTCTAGCATCAAGGGGAAGGGGGGGTTTATACTCATTGAAAGACTACTGATCCTACCGGAAACCAACCTGTTTACTGTACTGTTGTAAATATCATGCCCTTTATATCCTGTATATTGGCTTCTTTTAAATAAAGTGAAATGTCTTAGAATTGATGGTGTTTTTTTTTAAATTGACAATAAAGTGGTGATGGGGGATGGGGAAGAGGACTGAGGGCCACATAAACACTAAAACAAAGTAGCCAACTAGTGACACAATAGGGGAATTTCACATCACTGGTTACATTTGCCTCTGACAGTTGTACACATTTTACAGAAGGGGAAGAGAGAGCCAGAGAGATTAAGGCTGAGTAATTGTTGTAGCCTGGTTTGGAATTAAGGTCCTGTTAATCACAGAGCCCCCATTTCTTGCTTTCTTTTTTGTGAGGAAGATTGGGCCTGGGCTAACATCCATGCCCATCTTCCTCTACTTTATATGGGACGCTGCCACAGCATGGCTTGACAAGCGGTGGTGTCAGTGGGCGCCCAAGATCCGAACCTGCAAACCCCGGGCCACGGCAGTGGAGCGTGCATACTTAACCACTACACCACCAGGCCGGGCCCCAAGCCCCCATTTCTTAAACCTCCTCCCAGTACCCATGAGAGGCCACCTCCTGGGGCTCTGGATTTGACACTGTCCAATGTTCTTGTTAATGGCCAAGTTCAGGGAGACATTGCCCTATGTGAATGGCCCACCGACTAGGGTTTTCTTCAAGGATGAAGGGAAACAACCCCCACCAATTCCAATTTATTTTCTACCCTAAGACGTGCTCTTAATGTGGTTTCCTTTCGCCGCTCCCCGCTCTGTTTCAATTCCCCAAAGTGTCTTAAAGGGATGATCTGGAGGAAGGGAGTAGCATGAGATAACCAGGGCATTCTAATGTGGGGATTATTACCCCCACTTGATAGACAGGGAAACTGAGGCCCAGGGAAGTTACGTATTTTGCCAATGTCCTAGGGAGGAACCACAATCAGCATCAGAACTTTGGCTCCTAAGCAGATTTTCGGTTCACGCTGCTGGAGGAAATATAAACAGATAATTAGACGAGAGTGTTAGAAAAGCTATAACAGTTCCTTAGGAATAGAATGGGTCCCTAAGACCGTGTCATCACGAAGGCTTCAGAATACGAAGGCTTCAAATAACGTTCAAGCCTTCACCAAACTTCTGCAAGAGAAAACTGAAATTTTGATGGGGGGAGGGGAGATAAAGCGCAGGACCAACTGGTTCCGCGGCCAGAGGCTTTGAAAGAAAAGTTAAGCAAAGACCGGCTCGCGTTTTATCTTTTATTGACCGTAAACTGCAAGGAAGCAGGCCGATTTATCTAAGCGCCAGGCCCCGGGCAGCTGGGTGGCCCCGCGCCAGGCCGGTGGGGGGGGGGGAGGCTGGGTCACCGCCAGGGGGCTGGCGGCAGGGACTCCAAGCTGGAGGCAGGGGACTGGCCGCGGTGTGGCCCTGCGGGGTCGAGGAGCCTGGTAGCCACAGGGCAAGGACAGCCTAAGTGGTCGCGCCGCGACGCCGCGCGCCAGCGACACCTGACCCGCGGCCCTGCGGTCCTGCCGCCCCGCCTCACACGTGACCCAGCCCCGCTCTCTCATTGGCTCGTTCAGCCCCTCTCCCCGCCTAAGAAGGCTGCAACATGACCGCCCCTCTGATTGGCCTGGGAGCTTCCATCTGTCGCTCTGATTGGTCGATGGGGCTCACGCCCTCTCTCCCGCGGCCCTCTCGAGACCTGCAGGGTCATACCATAAAGAGAGGAGGGGGAAACGTGTATATTTCACGGCTTCCCTTTTGGGTCGCCTTGTCCTAGGTCACGTAGGGGCCTCTATCATGCCCTCCAAAAGAGAATTATTTTAGTAACAGAAGGCAACTTTCGGTTGACCCCGACTCGGAGGACAGGCCGGCAGACCCGGTCCCCCCGCCCGCCGAGGTGGTGCGCTCCGGGCGGGGCCGCCCCTCCCCGCGGCGCCCGGGCTGACGCCCCGGCGCACAGCCGCGCCGCGAGCCGGAGATGCTGCCGCCCGCGCTGCGCCGCGCCCTGCTGGCCCGCCCCTGGAGGTGGGCCGGGTGAGTGAGCGCCGGGCCTGGGGAGGCCCCGGGAGGCGCCTGCTGGCCCGGGAGGCGCCGGGGCCCCCCGGCCGGACTCCCTCCCTGCCGGACCCCCGCCGGGTTCCCCTGGGGCTCCCCTCCCCCGGGGTCGCTTCCTCTAGTGCTCCCGCCCCCCACCCAGGCCCTCCTCCCACTGCGATCCCCTTGTCTCCCTCGGTGGTCGCCTTCCTTCAGGGAGGGGGACCCCCTTCCCGAATCTTGCGGCCGAGTGGGGTTCCTCGGTGCCCTCCTGGCTCCCACGCTCGGAAAGTACCTTCCCCATCACTCGTCTTCCTCCTAATACTGGATCTTCGAAATCTGCCCACCGCCTGAGTGCGGCGGCTTCCTCCCAGGAGCACCTCTATTTTTAGCACAGCCCACTTCTCACCTCCCCACCCTCGGTCTCACATCAGGACCCACCTCTGGGGTTCCCTGAGTCTTGCCTCTCCTCTCTCTAAGCGGATTTCTACCTCTCTTTTCCTCTTCCCCTTGTTTCAAGTTAAGTGTTGGGCAGAAAAGGGACTCCTTCTGGTAGCTGGAATATGGGCCAAATGCTGTGCTAGGCACTTGGTATGTGCCTTATTGTGATGATTAAACGAGTTAGTACATGTAAAGTGCAGTGAACAGAGCCTGGCACATAGGCAGGGCCCAGTTATTATTCATCATGATCATCGTTGTCACTTGTATTTCAACTTCTCCTGTGTGGCAGGTAGTATTATTCCAAATTACAGATGAAGAAACGGAGGTTTAGTTTCAGGGTGGAGCTGCCCTGCAAACCCAGATTTGCAACCCCCTACATTGTAGAGTAGGCTTCCTGGACCCTTGTCTGCTCAATGACAAATGTTTTCGGAGCTCTTTACTGCTCTGGGCTCCACCGTGGGGGGGTGGGGGTGGGGTAGGACACAGACTCTGCCCCCCAGGGACTCATGGTCTGCTGAGGCTGCCCCTTATGGACCCGTGTTTCTGTTGGCCTCCCTTTCAGAGCTGGGCAGCCCCCGCCCGCAATTTGAGTTTTGTTTACCTGACCCCTAGGACTGTCACCAGCTATGCCTCCCCTACTGAGCTCAGCTTCTTTCTGAGTTAATCAGTGTCCCAAGGGATGCACAGGGGTGGCCTTCAGCCATCGGCCCAGGTGAGTTTCATCACTGCTGTGTGTCCTCTGTGAGTGGGGGTGGGATGGAGAAGGGCACAGGAAGAGGACATGGAGAGAAGGGCTCCTCTTCCAAACTGAGGTGGGGGGCCATACTTGCCACACCCTCAGAGTCGTCCCATTTTCAGGCCTCTCCCTGCAGTCTGAGACCAGCCCTCTCAGACCCTGGATGGAAGTCCCATAGATTCATGTGTTAGCTGAGTACCTACCGTGTGCCTATGCCATGCTAAACCCTGGAGGGAAGGGTCCCCGGGGGATTCACATGTGGATGAGTCCTTTGAAGTTTTCAGTTTAATGGGGAACAAAGGCTTAGACATAAAAAACCCTCTAATGTCTGGTAGAAAGCAATCCATATCCCCCCCCAAAAGCCCATAATAATAATATTTATCAAGCAGTCAAGGACCATAGGCCTGGCACCGTGCTGATAAGCCCTGTATTAGCCCCATTTTACGGATGGGAAACTTATCTGCCCGTGTAGGCAAATGTGGGACTAAAATCGCCGTTGGTCTGACTCCAGATTCTTGCTCTTTTTAATTACAAAGCCTCTTGAGTGGAGAAGAACGTTTTGCAACCGGAGAGAAAGCATTTTGCAACCAGATCTGCAGGCTCAGATCACCTCGTCTCATAACAGTGGCTGGCCCAATGCCCCAGACAGGGTTTCTCAGTTCAGCACTACTGACACTTGAGTCAGATGATTCTCGGTTGTGGGGCTGTCCTGTGCGCTGTAGTGTGCTTAGCAGCATTCTTGACCTCGACCCCCTAGATACCGTAGCACCCGCAAGTCGTGACAACAAAAAAGTGTCTCCAGACATTGCCAGATGTCACCCGGGGGGCAAAATCCCAGTTGAGAGCCGCGGCTCTAGATGAAGAGCTTTGGTGTCTGGTCACTTGTTCATTTATTTGACAGATATTTAGGACACACCTGTGGCATGCCTGCATTTATGGAGAAACAATTTTAGGACATTTTTGGTGATATCTCTCAGTGTCCTATACGTAAAACTCTAGTGCCGAGAAAAACCATCTCCAGGAACTGGTATGGGTGAGGTTCTGTAGTGTTTCCCTTTTTGCCTGGAGTGGCAGGAAGCTCAACCAGTTTTTACAAATACTCTTGATTGTGCATTTTCTTTTAATTTAATTAATATGTGTCCATTGTAAAAAGTGCAAGTAAAGCAAAAAAGAATGCAAAAATCACCTGGAATCTCACCAGGCAGAGGTAACCATTGCCATCGTTTTGATTAATATCCTTTTAAATTTCCATGAACATATATATGCTTAAAACAACAATACAAAAACGGTCTCATGTGCAAATACTTTTTTGTAGCTTGCTTCTCTCACCTCATGGACTTGTCTACCTTACTCTCTGGCCCCAGGGCCTAGAACTGTGTCTGGCACCTGGTAAGCGCTCGGCAAACAATTGGTGAATGAAGGAATGATCTTTGAGGTCGTCCTCGTCAGCAGATCTTGATCACGTCCAGTCTTGAGACAGTCGCCACAATGGCCTTTATGGCCTTTAGGGATGGTCACTAATGACAATGGCTGCCACTTACCTTTGATGCGGGTTATTTTACCTAGCTCCTCAGCAACCTCTGATGCAGGTGTTATTGTTCCCATTTCACAGTTTAAACAACTGAGGCCCTGGGGGAATTAAGGAAAACTTGCCCTCGGCCTTAAGCTCGTAAATACCAGGCCTCCATCTCCTTTGACCCTGACTTATTGCCCTTTTCTCTGTTTCATTGAACTTTATCATCTGTGTCCCCGGTTGTGTCTCTGCAAATTCTCTTTGGAAAGAGCCAAGATACATATTTATATTTATATATAAATTCAATAAATAAAAGAACTAGCCCAGGCACATCGTCTGCGTACAATGAAGGTTAGTTTTGTCCCTTCCTTACTCTGGTACTAGACCCTGCCGGGTGCTGGGAGTCCAGAGATGACTCCAGCTGCGTCCCCCAGCGGCAGGGGGCTTGTGGGCTGGAGTTGGGCACTGTCCCGTCCCCTGCAGGAATCCTCTCAGCCCACCTGCCTGTTTAATTGTCAAAATTTCACAACCCCCCAATGCTTGTCTCAGCCACCTGCCCCCTGGATGGGCAGAGGTTGTGCGGGGCAGGGGGCTGGCACGGCCTGTCATTCCCTGGACACACTGTGCTCTCTCAGCCCTCCAGGCAGTGGCCGGGCAGTGCCCCTGGTCTGGAATGTCATCCCCTGGCCACTTGGTGAGCCCACACTCCTCCAGCGCTTTGTGGCCTCGGACAGGCAGCTCTCCTCTGGCCCTTCAGTGTCCTGTCTGGAAAATGGGGATAATCTGATGAACAGCCACGTAGCACAAGGATTACAGATGATGTGACAGTGGCTTCCTGGGTACCCAGTGTGTGCTTGGTAAATAATTGAGTAAAGGAATAACTAGAACCTAGAACGATCCTGATACTTGCTTCTAAGGTTGTTAAAATGCCCACTCAGGCAACATCGGCTCTGGCACACCTTGGAGCACCTGCCTCTGGTGCCGGGCACCTGGCTTGGCACATAGTAGGTGGCTACTGTGATTGGTGGCTGTTGGAATGGCCCAGAGGACAGCCTGTGGTGGATCCTGGCTCCACCTCTTAGCAGCTCTGTGGCCCTGGGCAGGTTACTTAACCTCTCTGTGCTGCCTCATGTTCCCATGTAGAAAATAAAGATGATGATAGCCACCTGCAAGAATTCTCTTGGTGATTAAATGAATTCATACGCAAAAACCATTTTGAAGAGTGTCTGGCACCTAAAAAACTTGATAAGTGTTGCTTCCATCCTTATTTTGGTCCCCTCCCCCACTGGTGGGCTGAACGACCCACTGAACGACCGTCCTTGATTGGGCTATCAAGGCAAGAGGGTCCCAGCAGCACAAGGATGGTGGCAGGTGTGGAATTCAGATGTCCTCAGTCCCTTCCCTTTATTCTAATTCCCCCGGTGCAAAACCCCTTCTGTTGGAGTTGAACCTGCTCACCCCAGGGGCTGGGGCAGACACGTGCCCTTCTTGGGGGCTCCTTAGCCCCCAGACCTTCCCTGGCAGAGACCACGTCGTGGAGTGGAAGGCCCTGGCTGAGCTGGCAGTGTCAGTGGGCAAGCCGCTGCCCATCCTGGGGTGGCCTCTTCCCTCAGCTGGGGATTGAGGAGGTGCCAGCTGGACGGTGAGGAGGATGAACCTGTCCCTTCGGCTCCAGCTGACTGTGGGTCTCTGCAATGTTCCAGGTGCTTCTGCAGTAGTGTGTGCCTCCTCAGTGAGGAAGACCAGGGTTCAAATCCTGCTCTGTCACTGACCGAGCTGAGGCCGTGAGCCGAGAGTACCGTGACCTCTGAACCTCAGTTTCCTCACCCGTAAAATGGGGTTAATAATGGTGCCTCCCTTGTGCATTTGTCCTGGGGATTCAGTGAGATAATCACTTAGCGGAGTGCCAGGCGTGTTATAAGTGCTTAATCAAAGTCCCTCGGTGGCGCTGAGGTGGAAACAGCTTGATGCCCCTCCCTCTGGGCTGGCCCTGGGCCCCGCACTTTCTCTCTACTGGCCTCCTCTGCCGGCGCTTATCTCAGCGATAAGGGGAATTAGCCTTATCGGGCCCCTGATAACAGCTGGGAAAGCCTGGAAGGCCCATGAAGCAAGGATAATTTCCTGTCTACTCCTCTCCTTGGCCGTGGCCACCGATGACTCCAGCCACTGGCCAGCCCAAGGGACCTGCGCCCAGTTCTGGGGGCCTGGTGTCCCTCTGACACAGCTTGTGCGTTGTTTTAGAGGTATTTCTCAAGTGCTTACCCTGGGCTGCGCGGTGTGTCCGGAACAGTGTGTTCACCAGCACAGGGGACAGGAGCCGGCCAGGTGGAGCTTACGGCCTGGCCGGAGCCCAGACAGTCAGGGCTGCTGCGAGGAAAGTGCGGGCTGAGAGATGAGCCAACGGGCCTGTCCAGGCTGTGCGAGGCCAGCCAGGTGAAGAGCATCCACGCAGAGAGGACCACGGAAAAGACCAAGGGGCTGGACTGCAGCAGACGCGGTGGGAGGGGGTGGGGGGTGATGGGAGATGAGTCTGGAGGCCTCGGTCAGCATTCTGAATTTTTATTGTAGAAGAAACGAGAAGCCACTGAGTAGTGCTGAGCTGAGCGCTTGTCCTCTCTGTGTGCCTGTGTGTGATCAGATTTTCCTGTTAAAGCTTTAACTTTGGCTGTGGTTTGGAGAGTAGCTTGGGGACACTGGGGCAGGAGTGGCTGTTGCCACGTCCAGGCAAGAGCTGACAGTGCCTTGGACCAGGGTGGAGGCCCTCTGCTTCTCCTCTAGATTTCTGAGGTTGCGCTGGCGGGCCCACAGCTCCATCCAGCCCTGACGTGATGTCTTGGTGTTGTGGCCTTTGCAGCTCAGATCTGGTGCCTGCAGAGGGAGGGGAGGGGCAGCTGAGGTCTCGTGCCCAGGCTGTGAGGTCCCCGGGTGAGCAGAGGGGCACCCCGGGTTGTTGGGGGAAGCGGGGTCAAGTTGACACTGCCCCGTGCCTCCTTCCTGGAGTGGGAGGGCTGAGCGCCGCCCTAGGAAAGGTCGATGGGACGCATCTCTGCCTCCCAGAGCTGGGCACCTGGTGGGCGCTCAGGAAATGGGTGATGAATAAGGGAGTGAGCCCTCTTGACTTCATCTGAGTTATGTCTGCATCTCTGTGCTGTGCAATAAACATGTGCTGACCGCATGAATGAATAGGAATGCAGTCCTGCCTAGCAGGGCCGCGCAGATCCTCCTAGAGGCCCCAAGTCCTGTGAGAGAGTGATCTCCACCTTCCCTTGAGCCAGTGGAAGGGTGCTCATGGTAATCCCGAATGGCCCATGAGCCAAAAACACATTGAGAGAGTCCCTGGATTATTTTTGGCTTTATTGACTCTGGCTGATCTTTGAATTAGTCTCTCCAGGCCCTGGAGACTTTCTAGGCATAGAGATGGCCATGGGCACATATGATCCTGAGGTCACAGTGGGCCTCTGCCCTGAGGGCCTCTCCCTGCGGAGGGAGACCTGCAGGATTTCTGTTCCTGACACTGTCAGGGAGGGAACACAGAGAGGAGAGCTTGTAGCTACTACATTGTAAGCTTTTGCCCTGGGTGGACTACGGTGCTACGTTTATTCCAGCAGCATTTTTGACACCTTGGGGGTGTCTGGGAACCAGTTTGCCTTTGAAAACCTGGCCTGGTGGAGTAAACATTCTGGAAGACCTTTGCAATTTTCTTAGAAAGACCTCAGAGGGGGAGGGGTGAGGAAAGGCAAGTGCTTTTAATCCTCATGATGACCCTTCAGGCAACAGGGTGTTACTCCCATTTTTCAGGCGACAGAGCAGAGGGTCTCAGAGGTTGTGATGATGTGCTGAGGTCTCAGATGGAGCAGGTGTGGTTTGTGGTCCTGGGTACGTCTGCTCCTAGAGCCTGTGCTTCTCGCCTCCCCGGGAATGGGGGTTCAGAGCAGGGTTGGAGCCGCCGCCTTCCTGGCTCCCAGCCCAGCGCTTGTTCCCAACCGCGCTCTCCTGGCTTAAGGAGGACATGGTGCCATCTGATCTGCTGATTGGTGGTGTGCTGCTCCTGAGGCCCAGAGAGAGGCTGCTGGAACCTTCCAGATGGCCTGGGAATAGATGCCACCCTCCCCTTTCCTGTTCAGGCTTGTGGCTGCTGGTATTTTTCCTGCCTTTCTGTTCTTCCCCACCACAGGAGGTGAAAGCCTGCCGTGTGGATTTTAATTTATTGAGCCAGTCTGTAGCTCTGCATTGTCATCTCTTCAGATCTCCATCATAACCCCATGAGATGGGGTCACCGTTTGCCATCCTCTAGGAGGAATCCAGCTCCAAACCAGTGACTTGCCCCAGGTTACCTGCTCGTGGAACGCTGAGCCAGCCCCACGTGTCTTCCTTCAGTTTGGGGAGGGGTGGGGCCCGAGGAATGTAACTGGCTTCCTTGGGTGTGTAGGTGCAGCCTGGGGCGGGGGGACAGGAGGAAGAAGGTCACTCCTTTTGCCCGTGGGGATTGTGGGCCACCGGCCTGCCCCTGTCTCCCTCCTCCTCAGCTGCACAGGCCCCTTTCTGCTCTTCCTACCTGCCCCTCCCTCTGCCTGGAATGTCCTCCCAGCTCTTCTCAGACCTCCTGCTGGTCTCCTGCAAAGGTCACCTCCTCAGAGAGGCCCTCCCTGACCACCCTGGCTGAAGTAGCCCCTCCTTTCCCCTTACTCACTCATTGTTGCGTCCCCTCTGTCATCGTGTTTGTTTCTTGCCCGTGCCCCCCACTGGAGGTCAGCTGCGTGCAGCCAGAGGCCTTCCTTTCCCGGTCACTGCGGTATCCCCAGGGTCTAGAACAGCATCAGAGACGTGGCAGGTGCCCAGTAACCTTGTAGAAAGAATGAAGGACCTGCCCTCACGGCCCTGGTTTCGTGTCCTTCCTCCAGGCCTCCCAGAATGCGTTGTTGAGCCTCCAGACCCCTTCCCAGTGAGAAGGGAAAAAAAGTGCCCCTGACGCTCGTAGCTGGGCCGTTTTGTTCTCCTGTTGGGCATCAACAGCCTTAGAGAACGCCAGCCTCAGACGAGGCCTGAGAATGGGATGAGGCGCCACAACCCCCGTCATAATTTTGTCTAAGCACAGAGGCCACCGTGCCACCCCCAGAGTACCAGACACCCCCCTCTCTTGCTAAATGAGGAACTGCTGCTTTGAACATGGGGAACACGCCCCCGTGTTCTGACAGCATCCAGTCGAGAGCAAACCCTGGCCTCCTTAAGCCCTCCCCAAATCACCCAGCCGGCACCCAAATCCTATAACAGGTTCTTTCTAGCACCCTCTTCTCGCGAGGCCCTACGTCCCCCAGATGTGCGCGCTCCCTCCCGCAGTGACCAGTAACCCGACTTGTCCACCGCAGGTGTGTTCCCTCTGGTCTCTGCAGGCTGTTGACACTGGGGGAGATCCATCTGGCTTTTTCTGGACTCAAATCCAGGTTTCTCCTGATCTTGATCTTAAACTAATCTTTTTCCTTTAAGGACCTAAATTTCCCTATTTCTATAATGGGGCCGCGGGTGAGAGCCATTGGATGCCACGATGGATGGGAGGCGTTATCAAGTCTAATGTGCCCTGTGTGCGTTAGGTGGCCTTTGTCATCGTGATTGTCCTCATTTACAGATGAGGAAGCAGGCCTGGAGGGGAAGCCCCACAGGGACTGGGGATGACTGACCCTAAAGTCCCAGCTCTTACCCACCCGTCCTCCCACCTGTGACCCCCAGACACATTAGGGAATGTGGTCACTGGAGGTCACTAGTCAATGAGGTTGTGAAGTTCAAGACTGAATAGGCCCCCAGAACAAGGAGTTCTTGAAACTCAGTGCCAGGAATCAGCCCCTGAACCTGCAGACCAGTCCTCCCTGTCTCTGGACTGAGCTCAGGGCCCTCCTCCAAGTTCACGGTCCAAGCCTGGACGTTCTCGCCCACCCAGAGCTCAGCTCTGCGTGCCGAGGGAACTTCAGCGGGTTCACATTCCGAGAGACTCAGCTCTGGAGTGTGCTGCCTTTTCAGGTTCGAGACAGAAGTCACGTGGCTCTGTTTGGGATAACGTCTGCATTGTGGGGAAAGAGCGCGAGAATAAACCCTCTCTGTGTGCGGAACACTTGGAAATGGTTTTGCATCTATGAATTTAAACTTCAAACAACCGCGTGACTTTGTACGATGATCTCACTTTCTAGATGTGGGAACAGGCTCAGAGGAGGCAGGTCACATGCCCAAGAACACACAGTGGCAGGACTGGGACTTGAACTTGGGCCAGCTCTCACCCCCCAGTTCTGTAGTAGCTTCTGGGCCAACCCAGGACCCCACCGTCGGAGATCGAGGGGCTGGGGCTGGCACTGGCGCTGGCGGTGGCGGCTGCTGATCTGCTCTGTTCTCCACTCTTGCACCCCAGACTGCGGTGGAAACAAACCTCCTCCCTGACGGTGGCCAATGAGCCCGTCTTGGCGTTCACACGGGGCAGCCCTGAACGAGATGCACTGCAAAAGGTAATGGGAGGGTTGGGGACACGCAGTGGGTGGAGGGCATGGGGCGGAGATGCCTTCAGCTGCCCTGGCGATGCTGCTCCGTGCCTACGGCCGTCACCCCCTCCTGCCCCGCCTCAGCCCTGGAAGGAGACGTGGAGCATGGGAGAGGCTGGGGGCAGCAGGGTGGCAACCTGGACCACCTTGGGGCCTGAGTCCAGGTCAGGGGTCATAAGCCCACAGATGTTTTATGCTTGAAAACATTCTCCCCTTAATTGCCAGTATTTTAAAAATCATGAGATTTCACATAAATTTCAGATGCAGGTTTTTTTTAAATCTGTTTGTAATGAGAAGACCTGGCAGGACAGACAATGACGATGGATGGAGGCTGAGTCCTGCTGTTCCCAGGGGAACACATGCTCTCTCACCCAGACCTGCTTGCCCCCTTCTCATTTCTTTTTTTTTTCTGGTGAGGAAGATTGTCCTTGAGCTACCGTCTGTGCCCATCTTCCTCTATTTTTTTATATGGGGCGCCACCACAGCATGGCTTGATGAGTGGTGTGTAGGTCTGCGCCCGGGATCCGAACCCATGAGTCCCAGGCCGCCGAAGCGGAGCGCATGCACTTAACCACGACACCACCGGGCCGGCCCCTCCACTCATTTCTGTTGCTGCCTGGGCATCTGCATTTGCAGACTCTGGATTGGGGTTTTAGGTGGGTGGAGAGGAGAAGGAGGTGCCCATCTGCCCTCTTGTCCTCTCCCCAGGCCTTGAAGGACCTGAAGGGTCGGACAGAAGCCATCCCATGTGTGGTGGGGGATGAGGAAGTGTGGACCTCGGATGTGAGGTACCAGCTGTCGGTAAGTCCAGTGGGTGGGCAGGGCTCGGCCTCTCCCTGAATCTGGGGTGTGTCTCTTGGGCCACACATATAACGTAGGGTCTCTGCCTCCAGAGGGGTTTATAGTCCCCTCCTGGATTTTGAATTCCATGCACCGAGATAAAAGTTCCGACAGCAATCTGGGGGGGGCTGCCAGGAGGAAGTTAAAAACAAGGACTACTGCCAGCTTCGCCAGCTCTCTAGAAAAGTTCTCCCATTGACCACCTGGAGAGTAGGAAGAGAGGACTGGACGTCAGAATCAAAGCTAATCCTTCTAAAGAAAGGGGAGTTACCCAAGTCCTTGTCTGTATTTGGGAACCACTGGTCTAGCCGACAGTGAGCTTTCATCTAAGGTAAGCACCCGGGGCCGGGCCAGGTGTCACCTCCTCCGAGAAGTCCTCCTGCAGGAGCCCTGCTCCTTCTGCAGATAGTCTCAGAGGCCCTGTCCCATCGCACGAGCTCCTCCTTCAGTCCCTGCCACTCCTCTTGGAGGCGGGAGGAGCAGGAAGTTAGCTGCCCATTGTGCAGATCAGAGGACAAGGTCAGAGATGTTAAATGACCTGCCTGGGGTGTCACAGTTAGACCTGGAAGATGGATGAGATGTCCAGGTTTTCCAGTCTGTATCCCTTTGATTTTGATGTAAATGAATTCATTCACCCTGTTTCTGAAGAGGATTAATTTGCATACAGTGTGGCAAGGTCATCTTGCTGTGACCTGTGATGACCTTGGCCTGAGAAACCCACCTGCTCCGAGTTCAGGGAGGCAGGAACTGGCGTAGGCTTAGGGTAGACCAGGAAAGTCTTAGGTCTCTCATTTAGGGGAGCATAAAGGGTTGGCCCCTTTGCAGACGGGTGAGCACCTCTGGCTCTGTCCAGATAGAACCCTGAGCAGGCGTGTGCAGGGGTGAGGGAGAGGACCCAGGGCCCCCACTCTAAGGGTTCCCAGGACGGCCTGGGGCAGGAGTTGCCCACAGAGGCGTCCCAGAGCCCCTGCTGCTGGATCAGCAACCAGATGGCCTGACACCTGGAGCCATTGGAGCAGGCCTGGGGTCAGCATGCTTCAGGCCCTCCTCAGGTCTGACCAGGTGTGTGCCAGGTGCTAGCCCAAAGCAGCTCCCACGGCCTCGCTCACCGGCTCTCGTCTCTGTACCTGCCTGGAGCCTGCCCTCGCCTGCAGCCCCCCGAGGCCTCCGAGGCCGCTGCGGCCCCTGGGGATTTTCCAGGCAGCTGGGATTTTGATAACCCCCTGGGCGGGCACTTCTGATTTCCATTTTCCGTGTTGCCTCCGTGACCTGGCCCCGTGGTAGTGGTTGGGACCCAGGCATTTGGGGGCGGTGCAGGGGTGAGGGCAGGAGCTGTGTTGCGGGGACACATTGCTAACTTGGGGTATCCACAGTCCACTGGGACATGCTCAATTGAAGCGCCCGGGTCCCAGGTCCTTCCTGGCCCCTCAGTGCCACAGGCTGGTCTCAGGTGTGGACAGGATACAGGTGACTGTGCCAGGGTTAAAGCGAAGGGGAAAGGACCACTTTCTACGCAAACCTAGACCAGCGCTGCCCAATAGAGCTTTCTGTTTGCGATGATGATCGTGATGTTCTGCTGTCCGTTGTGGCAGCCACCGGCCACATGTGGTTGTCAAGTGTATGAAAGTTGGCTCATGCAACTGAGACAGGGAAAAGAAGCGAACTTTTTCCCGCTGTATTGCTCACGCTAGTCTCCAGCACTGCCGGGTTCTGTTTGTAAATGTTCTCGAGGATCTTCCCTTTTGGATGAGTATATCGGGGCCTCATGCAAGGGGCTCAAGAGGCAATTGCTCTGTTTCCTAGGGACTTAGGGGCATGGCAGAAATCCTGAGCGTTTCACACCAGTGCGTTGTTTTGGGCCTCCCATGGTCACAGTGCCCATCACTGAGCCGTGGCCTCATGCCAGACCTGGTTTGGAAGGATTTGCGCCTGTGACCCCATCTGGTCCTCTTCTCCGTGCTGTGAGGCAGGAAGTCCCCATTTCCCAGGCGGAATGACTTGGGAAGTCGGTGAACATAAGGCCCCACAGCTAGGAGGTGGCAGATTGGGATTTGAACCTGTGTCTGCCTGACCACCAAGTCCATGCCTTCCCTGAAAAAAGATTGCGCAGTCCATGTCCTTCTGGACTGTGAACCTTCTGGAACAGGAACCGTGTCTTACTCATTGAAGAGCAGGTGCTCCTTAACTCTCGAGAGGGAGGTGGTGTGGGCCGGGGCGGCGGGTGAAGGCTTTGTGGGGAATGGAGGGAGAGAGCGAGCGTGCCGAGGACTCGTGCCTGGCAAGCGAGCTTTGAGCCCGGCCCCATGCTCGCTGTCCTCGGTGAGTTCCCGCAGTGACCTCAGCCTTCTCTCTCTTTCAGCCCTTTAACCACCGACACCAGGTGGCTAAGTTCTGCTATGCAGACAAGGTGAGTCCCTGTGACTTTGGGGTTGGGGCACTGCCCCTGTCTGGCCTGCGAGCTGCTGATGTGGAGGTGGATGTGTCGCTGCTTCCCTCTGTGGCCGTGGGGGGTGGGGGCTGGGGGGTGGCTGGCCCTGGGAGAGTCTCTTTGGCAGGCCAGGCATGCAAGGGTTAACTTGAGCCAGTGGGAACTGCCTGGGCCAGGGCTGGACATCCCCGGACATGCACATTTTGGTGAGGCAGATCTTGCTTTGGGAAGTGGGGGTAGGTTCTGGAAGGTTGAGTCAGGGAAATTGGAGACATCATGGATGGAAGGGCAGGCAGAGAATTGGCATCACAGAAGGCCATTCAGAGGGGATGGGGTGACTTGTGGCCGGGGGTCTGGGAGCTGGCATCATGTGGCAGTGAGGGCACTTGGCATCTGGGATGCCAGCGGCAGGTATGTGTCTTGGGCTGTGGTTCTGGCCTGGCAAGGGCAAGGCCAGCCCCCTCGAGGGCTGGAGGCTCTGGTTGGTGGGGTCAGGGGCCCCAGGTCCCAGGAATAAGTTGAGGCTGTGATGAGCCCACAGGAGACAGTGGAGCAGGTTTAACAGCTGTGGGACCTAGTGCCAAGTCCCTGGCCTGCTGCCCTACCTGGCGGGTCCCTCAGACGTCTCCAGACGAGCAGGACGGGCTCCGAGCCTGGGGTGGCCCAGCTGGCAATGGGACCGCGGTGTCTGCAGCTGTGGGGGGAGGGGGCTGGGGCCAAGGGAGCCAGGGCTCTTCCAGATCTTCCTCCCTCGCTCACTCCCCTGGGACCCCTCCTGCCGCAGGAGGAAGCCCCTGACCTCTTCCTCTTCATTAGGCCCTGCTCGACAAGGCCATCCAGGCCGCCTTGGCCGCCAGGAAAGAGTGGGACCTGAAGCCTGTCACAGACCGGGCCCAGGTCTTCCTGAAGGCGGCAGACATGCTGAGCGGGCCACGCAGGGCAGAGGTCCTTGCCAAGACCATGGTGGGACAGGTGAGGTGCCCTTGGGCACAGTTGGGGTCGGGGTGGGGGGAGTCCTACCCCATCCGATTCAGCAGACATCGGCTGAACGGCTTCCGGGTGCCAAGCCCTGCTCTGTGTGCTGGAGACCCAGAGATGCCCTCGAGGGACGAGGCCTAGGAGAGGGACAGACAAACAGAAATGGTGGACGAAGTGGACTGTGAAAAGCCTGCGTGTCCTACCATGGAAATGTCCCCTCCCCTCCATCTCTGTCCCCGTCCTGGGGCAGGCCTGTTGTGTTTGCCTGGACTGATGGTTGCCCTGTGCAGTCCTCCAGGCTCGGTCAGACCCTCAGTCCTCAGAGCAGTCTTTCTTACACCTCAGCTGGTCACTGCAGGTTTGCAGACCAACAAGATCTCTCTGTCACTGAGTCACGTCCCAAGTCCTGAGCCCAGCACCCAGGGCCCTTCGTTCCAGCCTCTGTCCAGCTCGCCAGCTGCTCTGCCCTTCCCACCAGGCTATCCTGCCTTGACATTGCCGTTAGCAAGACTCCTGGACACCGCAGGTGTTCGTCTCCCTGCCTGTGCCTGGTGTCTCCTGCCTGGAATGCTCGCTCTCTTTTCTCTGCCCCGTGAACTCCTACCCATCAAGGTCCAGTCCAGATATCACCTCCACTATGAGGCTTCCAGAACCTTCTCAGTCTCAAAGCATCAGTCCCGCCTCTGTGCTCCCATAGCATGCGGTTCGTTCGTCAGTTACAGCTCAGATCACGTTGGGATGTTATGACTTCCTATGGGTTTGTCCCCCTTTATGAGCTTTTTGGGGACAGTAATCACGTGTTAATGTTCTCTGTCTTTCTGGGCCTTGCACCGTGTCTTCCTGGAATCATAGGAGTGAGTGCATGTTGAGCCAGTGATTGGCACTGGCAGCACAGAGCTGGGGAGGAGCAGAGGGAGATAGGGTTAATTTCACCGTCCCCAGGAGTAAGCCTTGGGGTTGGGTCCCTCCGGGAGCTCTTCCTGGGGGTTCCGCGCCGAGAGCCCCTTCTGCTGCCTGGAGGTGGTACAACAGCTCCCCGCCCTGCCAGGTGTCTCCTGGTTCTCTCAGCAGCCCCTGGGGTGGGTGTCGGGCTCCAGAGTGTCCCGAGTGAGCCACACCTGGGCAGAAGACACACAGACTCCAAGACCAGATGAAGGTGATGAGACCAGCCTGGTGGTGTAGTGGTTAAGTTTGCACACTCGGCTTCGGCCGCCCGGGGTTTGCGGGTTTGGATCCTGCGCGCAGACAGACCTACACACGGCTCATCAAGCCATGCTGTGGCGGCCTCCCATTTACAAAATAGAGGAAGATGGCGACAGACGTTAGCTCAGGGACAATACTCCTCACCAAAAAAACCAACCAAAAAAAAAAACAAGACCAGATGAAGGTGTCTCTATTTTACTGAAGACTCAGGAGCTTGTAGGAAGCACGGCGGCCGCACAGAGCAGGGGGCAGTGCATCTCAGCCCAGCCTCCCCTGCTCTGCATCCCAAACAGGGCGAGCTGCCAGTGACCCCATGTGCCAAGAGGGGCCGCCGCGAGCCGAGAAAGCCCTATTCTTGCTGCCCGGAGTCCTTCCCCACGGCTCACGTTGCCGTCGGGAGGAACGGGCAGGCTGACGAGATGTTTACAGCTGCCAGGCCTCCTGGTTCTCGGCCCAGACGCCCCAGAAAGGGCACGTAGTCGTCCCGGGGAAGGAGCCGCCAGCACCCTGCACACGATGTCACCGAGGGCGCAGGGCCCAGTGTCGGGAGAGGGCTAACAGGAGGCACGGCCACCCCCACTGACCCCGGCCTTCCCGCCTCGCAGGGTAAGACGGTGATCCAGGCCGAGATCGATGCCGCGGCCGAGCTCATCGACTTCTTCCGATTCAATGCCAAGTTTGCCATGGAGCTAGAGGGGGAGCAGCCAATGAGCGTGCCGCCCAGCACCAACCGTGTGGTGTACCGCGGGCTGGAGGTACCCGCAGGCGGCGGGGCGGCGGCGGGGCTGCCGGGGGCCTGAGCTCGGCCTCACCGCCCCCCTCCCCCTTCCCGTCCCCCAGGGCTTCGTGGCAGCCATCTCTCCCTTCAACTTCACCGCGATCGGCGGCAACCTGGCGGGGGCGCCGGCCTTGATGGTGAGACGCGGGCAGCGGGCGGGGATGGCGGGAGTGTCACCATTCCCGTCTCAACAGACAAGAGGCCCCGCCCGCGCCCCTCGGGTCTCGGCCCTGGTGGTGGGGGAAGCACAGGAGGCGGGGGCAGCATGGGGCTTATTTGTCAGGGCCGCACAGCTCGTAAGTGCTGGGACAGATAAGGATTCGGGTTTAGTTTTAAAGTCACCCCAGTCTGGTGGGGGAGCCGCAGCCCTGCCCCCAGAGGGCCCGGTGGCTCACGGAGGAGCAGGAGAGGGGCTGAGAGTTGTCGGGGGTCTGGACCCTCCGCCCCAGGGCGGCTGGGTGACCTTGAGGACGCTCATGCATGGGGCCATCCTCGTGCATCTTGCACAGGCAGGCGTGGCACACATGGAGGTGCCCACGTGCCCTCAGCCGGGACACGTGCAGAAATAGCCCTGCGAGCACTTGCCCGGCCACACCCAGTGAGCGCCCAGCGACTCGGAAACACCCAGAACAGACCTGCCCGAGGGTGCTGGCAGGACCAGTCTGCGCGGGCTGCTGGAGGAAGGGAGCCCTGGCCAGAGTGTGGGAGCAGACGGGCAGGGTGTGGTCTTGTTGGCAAGGGGTTTTAGAGCAAGTGCCCGACACCTGGAGGAGTGGCGTTGGGTAGGGGACATCCTGGCCTGCACAGAAGAGGGTGGTTCCAGGCGAGGGATGGCCATGCTTCGGGGTGAGGTGGGAGTCGGGGCAGGTGGCCCCAGCCTCGTGGGTCATCACCACGCCCCCCGGGCAGGGCAACGTGGTCCTGTGGAAGCCCAGTGACACTGCCATGCTGGCCAGCTATGCCGTCTACCGCGTCCTCCGGGAGGCTGGCCTGCCCCCCAACATCATCCAGTTTGTGCCAGCTGATGGGCCCACATTTGGGGACACCGTCACCAGCTCAGAGCACCTGTGCGGCATCAACTTCACAGGCAGCGTGCCGTGAGTCCCTAGGGTGGGGTGGGGCTGGGTGGCGTGGGGACATTCACCCAGCAACTGCCTCGTCACCTCTGTCCCAGAGCTGGCGCTGTGAACCCAGAAGTCAGGCACTGACTATACCCACTTACTCGCTGTGTGGCTGTGGGCAAGCCACTTCACCTCTCTGAGCCTCAGTTTCTTCACCTGTACAGCGGGAGTCATAGTCCCTACCCTGCAGAGTAATTGTGAGGGTCAAACTAGGTAATGAACAGGGAAGAGCTTCACAGGCTGGGAGCTGCTACAGGTGTTTGGCGACACTGATTTTGACACCTCATCTGTTACTGGAAAGGGTACAAGGGAGCCTGGAGTGAATTGCAGGAGGAGATCAGGAAGGCTTCTTGGAGGAGGTGGCATCAAACAGAGGAGTTGGCCAAAGGGGGGTTGGGGAGAATGTTCTAGGAGAGGGCAGAGCATGTGCAGAAGCCTGAAGGCTAAAGTTCTCGTGGTCTGGGAGGGGAGGTGGAGGTGGCCCGTGTGGCTGAAGTGGCGTTTGAGGGGCAGGACACAGTTTGATCATGGTCGCTCGTTTGTTCACTCACCCAGCAGGTGTTTATCGAGCCCCTGCTCAGCGGTGATGGCGTGCAGGAGACAAGGTCCCACCTCTCAGGGGATTTAGTCCGGTGACTGTAAGGCCCTGTGAGCCTGCAGAGGTGTCTGGACTTTATTCCAGAGGTGATGGGAGCCACGGCAGGTTTTACACAGGGGGAGTGGCTTAATCAGAGTTCTGTCTCAAGCACAGGTTGCAAATGGTGGCTCTCCGGGCGGACCTGCCGTGTGGCTCTGTTTTCTTTGACCCCTAAGAGAGATGGACCAGCCTTATACACTGGGACAGTTTCATGTGAAAATCCAAACGTTGGCTTCTCTTGACGACCTGGACCCCGTGGTCGCTGCCCGCATTTCCATGTGGTGCCACTGGCCGGAGGCGGGTGGGTGCTCCCCGGTCCCCGACTGTCCCACCAGCCCGGGTCTCTGCATGCCTGGATGGCCTCGTTCCATCCCTGCCGGCCCCTCCAGGCCCCTGCGTTCGCAGCCTCTGGCACATGGTCGCTCTGGCCGCTCTGCGCATGAGGCGCTAGTGGCGGGAAGCAGGAGGCCGGTGAGGAGGCTGACCACGTCTGGGGAGGGGCGACGGGGGCCTGAACCTGGGTGGAGACGGTGCCAATGGAGAGAAGGGGGCCGATTGCAGTGAGCAAGGAGCAGGGTCAGGTGGGGGGTCGGCCGAAGAAGGTGAATCATGTGCTGGTCACTCTGAGGCTGAGCTGCCCAGGGGTCGTCTAGATACAGATGTCAGGGTTTGCTCTTGGAGACCTTCCAGGTGTCCTCGGGGACACCTACAATGGCTTCTCCCCTCTGCTGGCCTCAGGCTCCCCCTGCCACTCCCCGCCAAGGTTTTCCGGGTGGCGGTGGCAGCGTTAGAATTGCTGAGGAGGGCCATTTTCCAGAAGGCCCACTCTGCTGGCTGCGGGCCCCACGGTCCCTGCCTATTAGCGGGCGGGGCGGGCCGGCCCCTGTTGCCGTGCTCTGGTGAGCAGCGGGCTCAAAGGTGGGAAAGTCATAAATTAGCATTAGCTGCTGTGTCGCCAGCTCCCGGTGATTAGCATTTTTATTGTTTTGAGGTGCTGAGGTTGGTCACACTCAGAGCCCGGGGAGGAGGCAGGGGCCGGGCGCCCTCTCCCGGGACCCTCGTTGGTTTGGCCTCTGGAGCCTGGGCGCTGGGCTGGGGTGCCCTTGACAGACCACGGCAGCGTCTGTCCCCGTCAGGCACTGCAGTGTGCCCAGCACTGACTCTCATTCGGGTGAATCAGGACAGCCCTGCCGGGTGGCATTGTTCTCTCTTGTTGCCAGAGGAGGTGCAGAATTTGAGGCTCAGAGAGGTTAAGTAATGAGCGTAAGATCACACAGCCGTGTCTGAGTCAGGACTTGAACCCAGCACCCCGTGGCCTTCTCTGCACCATCTTGCCACCACGCCTCCCCTTGCTCCCTCCTTGTAGGCCTGGAATGCAGCCCATTTCCAGGTGCCACCACCTACTTGGCTCCCCACCACGCTGCCGTGACCCCTGCCCGCCTCCTGCTGGGCCGCGACCCTGACACTCCTCCCTGGGCTCTTCGGCCCGTCGTCTGGTAGGGGCTGCCCCACCCGAGACCCTTAGCTTCTCAGGAACCCGAGCGCGGCCCCTCATCCGTGTCTTGTCCTGGTTTTAGCACCTTCAGACACCTGTGGAAGCAGGTGGCCCAGAACCTGGACCGGTTCCGCACCTTCCCACGCCTGGCCGGAGGTGAGGGCCCCTCTGCACCCCTCCCCTGGCCCCAGGGACCCCTCCCATGGCTGTGCTGAAAGAGGAGGAGTGGGGGCGAGGCAGCCTCCGGGGGTGGGGGGTGGCCCCGCAGGAGCTGAGAACCGGGGGGCCCTGAGGGGAGCCTCTGCCCTGGCAGGCCCCGGCTCGTGCAGAGCGCGTGTGCCTCAGCAGGTGCATTTTTTCGTTCATTCATCAGTCCTTCAGCAAATACGTTACTAAGTGTCCACGCGGGCACTTTGTGGACACTGGGGAGGCAGAGATGAGGAGACGCAGACCCGGCCGTCACCCACTGCTCCCGTAGCAGGAGGCAGACGGTAAACGCGTGTCAGGTTGCCACCAGGCTGTGAGGGATTAAAGGAAGAAAGAGAGGCGACGGGCAGGGCCCCCGAGGGCTGGGAGTGGTGGTGACCTCGGTAGTCAGGCAAGCCCTCTTCAAAGAGGGGACATTTGAGCTGAGACCTGAATGACGAGAAGAAGCCAGCCTCACAGGGACCTGGGGGACGAACCGTCCCAGCACCAGCACCGTCCAAGAGAACTTTCTGTGATGATGATGTTCTGTGTCTGCGTGTCCCGTATGGTAGCCACTGGCTGTGTGTGGCCATCAGGCAGTTGAAATGTGGCTGGTGTGACTGAGGAAGTGAGTTTTCTGTTTTATTGAATTTTAATGAATTTGAATTTAAATAGCCACGTGTGGCTGGCAGCTGCCGTGTGGCACAGCCCTGGTCTAGGCTCGGGGAGCTGCCAGCTGCCATGAGGTGGGAATGAGCTTGCATTTGAGGAAGCAAGGCCAGTGTAGCTGGGGCAATGCTGAGACCTCGGGAGAGGGAGGGGGTGACAGGAGATGGGGCTGAGGAGTCGGCAGGGCTAGATCTTGTTGAAATATTAATAATTGTCCCACAAAGAAGCAGTTTCATGGTCAAGGAAATTAGGCACATGCTGTGTTAAAGTAAAATGACTTTCTTGCCTGCAGGACTTGTCAGAGCCTTTACTGCTCTAACATGCATTGTGCATGTTCAAGAGCAAGATCTGATGTGTGTTTCCCAAACTCTTGAGGCCACAGAGCCTCATTTTTGCAGAGGCCCCAGGGGCCAAGTGTTTTGTGGAACACACTTTGGGAAAATGCCAAGACCTCGAGGGAGGGACGGCCATCCGGGGCCACACAGCACGGTGATGGCAGAGCTGGGGCTGGTGCTTCCGTGTTCTTGCTCCAGGGCGTGAAAACTGGACCCCTCTCCTGTGCTGGGGGGAGCTTTGGTGGGGTGTCAGGGAAGGTGAGCCCTCCTCAGGACCAGCTGCAGCATCTCCAGCTCCCAGCCCTCAGGGCCCTCCAATCCAGCTTTTACGAGACGGGGAACAGCGAGCCCCTTCGGGCAGCTGCCCGTGGTTTTCTGCTCTGTCTCCTTCCCCCGCCTCCCCGAGGGAGAGAGACCACCACTTACTCTACTGCTTCCCACCTCAGGCCTGTGACTCAATCCCTCTGTGCCTCAGTTTTCGTGTCTTTGAAATGGGAATAATGCTGGGAGGTTGAGAGACTTCAGTGGGGGAGGCTCTAAGAGAGCTGCGCCCACTTCTGGGAATGGACTGGCTCTCGGGAGCCTTGGGTGCTGGTCCTTCCTCTGTCCTTAGGTTGGGCGGCACCCCCGCCCCCAGTCTCAGTTTTCTCGTCTGTGTAGTGGGGGTGTTGGTCCTGAAGAGCTCTGACGCCCTTCACCCCAGCCCGGGCCTCCGTTTTTCCATCCGTGTGGGGGGAGGAGAGGCCCGGCTCATGGGTTTCTGGGACGTTGTCCATCCCTAACTCTGCCTTCTCCTGTTCTCGTCTGCCCAGTACGGGGGCTGGTCGCAGGGCCCTGTGGACGGGTGTAGGCGGTGTGCGGGGTCCCTGGGCCGGCGGGGGCACCGGCTCTGCTGCCCTAGTCATCCCCCACCCTGGCCCTTGTAGAGTGTGGCGGGAAGAACTTCCACTTCGTGCACTGCTCGGCCGACGTGGACAGCGTGGTGAGCGGGACCCTGCGCTCGGCCTTCGAGTACGGAGGCCAGAAGTGCTCGGCCTGCTCCCGCCTCTACGTGCCTCGCTCGCTGTGGCCGCAGATCAGAGGGCGCCTGCTGGAGGAGCACGGCAGGATCAAAGTGGGCGACGTGAGTGGCGCCCTGCTCCCCGCCGCCACGCAGCGGGTGGCTGATGGGATTGGAGGCTCCCGAGCGGGTGGGGGGCTGGGGTGAGTGGGGAGGGGCTGCCTTTGTCTCGGGCCTGCGGTGACTCGGTCTCTCCTGGCGTCTCCCTTGCCTCCAGCCTGCAGAGGATTTTGGGACCTTCTTCTCTGCAGTGATTGATGCCAAGGTACGGGCAGGAAGCGGGGTGTTCCTGGGGGGCCGAGGCCTGGACCGGGTGGGAGGGGGAGGAAGAGATACGGGGGGCCCTGACCCGGGGTGACCCGGCCCCACTGCTTCCAGCAAGGCAGCTCGATAGCCACGCGTACCCTCCCACGCCAGCTTTGAAAACGGCAGAAGCATCCTCAACCAGAGAAGAACTCGCCTCCCACACCCCCTGCAACCAGGCTCAACAAGCTCCTTCAAGGGTCTGTGTTCATATGCACACGTACAAGAAGGCACACATATCTGTGTGCACGCACCTACATATACGTGCACATGTGCGTACACATCAGTGAACACTATCACGTAGATCTCTGTGTGGGCGTGCGTGCAGGTTTCCCACATGAACACACACACATCTCCCTACACAAACGCATTCACCCACGGGTGTGCACGCACAATCGTGTACACATTGATACGTGTATATAGGCACACGTGTAGGTCTATATGCATAAGCATAACCACATATCCCTACGTGCTTAAACATAAAGACACGTGGCCGTGCATATGCCCATGTGTTCATTTATGTGTGTGTTATGCTTGTACGTAAGTATACCTGTCATTCTGCCACACACACACACACACACACACACACGAGCGTGCACGTCCGCCCTTGTCTCTGCCGTGGCTCAGCCAGACTGCCTTGGCCCTCCCCCCTCCCCCGTTTCAGAATTCGGGCTCTTCAGGGACGGGTGTTTCAGGGTGCGTGTGTTGGGGGCTGCTGGTCCTCCCCGCCGGTCCCTGACGCCTGTCCTCCCCGCCCACCGCAGTCCTTCGGCCGCATCAAGAAGTGGCTGGAGCATGCCCGCTCCTCGCCCAACCTCACCATCCTGGCCGGGGGCAAGTGTGACGACTCCGTGGGCTACTTCATGGAGCCCTGCATCGTGGAGAGCAAGCACCCTGAAGAACCCATCATGAAGGAGGTAGCGGGGCGGGCAGCCTGGGCGTCGAGGGGACAGTCTCGCCCGAGCACAGTGCACGCGTGGGGCCCTTGCACGGCGTTTTTTCTCACTGCGTTGCCCCATTCCACAGATGGGAAGAGTGAGGCCCTCAAGAGGGAACGTCTCACCCTAGTGGGAGCAGAGCCGGTCCTCAAGCTCGGGTCTCCTGACCCCACATCCAGTGCTCTGTCCTGATGCCGCTGACCCTGGCTGGTGTCAGGGCACTTCCACTGCCCACAGCCCCGCGGCCATCCTGACATCCCTCACTGGGGCTGGCCGCAGCTGGGCACTTGCTGAGATGAGTGGGAATTCCCATTTTACAGATGGGAGACGGAGGCTCCGAGAGGTCAAGGCACTTGTCCAGGCTGGCAGTGCAGGGGTGGGGGTCTTCCCCCAGCCCCTTGGTGGCAGAGGGGACTGTGACACTGCTGGGCAGTTCCTGTGCCAGCTGCTGCCAGAAGTCTCCCATTGCCAAGGGTCCTGGCTGCTCGGGTGTGGGTTTGGCTGGCAGGGAGGGCCAGCAAGTGTCCAGGGCTCTTTTGCCGGGGTGGTGGGCTGGGGTGGGCAGGGCAGGAGCTGGGCACGTTGCTGTCCTTGGAGGGAACTGAGCAGGAGGCAGCGCCGTGCAGGGGCTGCGGTGTGGACTGAGGCCTGGGGACGGGCAGAGGCAGAGGCCACGGCAGGGAGACCGGGAGGCCTCAGGACGCTGGTCCAGGCTGGGGCTGAGCCTGGGGCTTCTCTCCCAGGAGATCTTCGGGCCTGTGCTGGCCGTGTACGTCTACCCGGACGACGAGTACAAGGAGACGCTGCGGCTGGTGGACAGCAGCACCAGCTACGGCCTCACGGGGGCGGTGTTCGCCCGGGATAAGTGAGTGGCGCAGCCCCTCGGCTCTGGTCCTGGTGTCTGTCCCCACCGCGGAGACTGCCCTCCGGGATGTGGATCCTAGTCATCGTGCCGCCCCTCGCTTTCTCTCCGCTCCCTGCCCCTCAGCCCTGACCCGCAGGCAGGAAGGCTCCCGAGCACAGGGCTGCAGAGGCAGCCGGGCTCCTTGTTAAAATGCAGATTCCTGGGCCCCATTATTGAGCCTGGATGTCTCGGGCCGGGGCCCCGGAATCCGTGCTTTTCACCAGCTCCCCGGATCTGAGTGGGTGACAGAGGCCCCGGGGGCAGCGCACACTGCTCGGCTCGCAGAGGCAGGATTCGAGCGCGGGTCTCATGCTACACCTGGGCTTGGCCTTTTCCTCCCCCACTCACTGGCTGCTGCCCCACGTCTGCCTCTGAGACAGCGGAGGTGGGATTGGAACCTGGGGGGAGGGTGGGGCTCTGGGGCTTCCCCCAGCCCTCGGGGGCCGGGAAAATGGACCGGGGTGGGCCACTCCCTCAAATGTGTGCAGCCTGACCCTCCGTCCTGTTCAGTCCTTGCAGCAGCCCTGCGAGGGAGGGGCGCTAACCCCCTTCCAGAGGAGGAGGCTCAGAGACTCTAAGCAACCTGCGCGGGGGTGCACAGCTAGCGGCTGGCCCATGTCCCAGGCCTGGCCTAGTCCTCCACCTGGACAGCCGGCATGGGCCGGGGCAGGGGGTTGGAGGTGGGACTGGGGCTGGAGGGCGGGGTGAGCCGGCTGCCCTCTTACCGCTGCCCGCCTGCAGGGACGTTGTCCAGGAGGCCACGCGGATGCTGAGAAACGCTGCTGGCAACTTCTACATCAACGACAAGTCCACCGGCTCGGTGGTGGGCCAGCAGCCCTTCGGGGGGGCCCGAGCCTCTGGTGAGTGGGTGGCCCTTCCCAGGGGGGAGCCGAGTTCCTGGCAGGAGGCCCTGGATCCTTTGTCACAAGGGTGTTGAGAGTGATAGGAACAGCACCACTGACTGAGCACTGTGGCCCAGGCGCTGCAGTAACTCAGGGTCCTGTCAACAACCTTGTGAGCTGGGGTACTATTATTGTTGTTCCCATTTGACAGAGGGGGAAACCGAGGCCCAGAGGTGAAGTGACTCGCTCCAGGGCCCATGGCTAGGAGGTGGTGGAGCTGGCTTTGTGCCAGCACCCGTGCCTTTTACCACCATGCTCCGGCTCACTTCAGTCCAACTCCCTCCTGTTTACAGATGGGGAAACTGAGGCTCAGAGAGGGACAGTGACTTGCTAAAGGTCCCAGCAGCCTAGAGGCAGAGCCAGGGCCGGAACCCAGATCAACGGACTCCCAGTCCAGTGCTCTCTCCGCAGTGCATCCCTGCCTCCCGGACACCCTTGCAGGGGGGCACATGGACCCGGGAGCATGGGTGTCCTGCCTGCTCGTGGTTCCTGCCTCGTCCGGCCCGGCCGTGTGCTGCCCGGGAACCTTGGCCGCGTGAACACGTTTGGTCGTAGTTTAGCTGTTTGCTGTGTGGGCTTGTGCCCCATTTATTCCATCAGCTCCCCTTCCCTTTTCCCTTCTGCCCAGAGCTATTGCATCTTTTCAGAAGAAAACAGAGCTGTCTTTTCTGCAGGCACCAATGACAAGCCGGGGGGCCCCCACTACATCCTGCGCTGGACGTCGCCCCAGGTCATCAAGGAAACCCACAAACCGCTGGGAGATTGGCGCTACTCGTACATGCAGTGAGCCCCGTGCGGCGCCTCCGCCGTCCTCCTGTCTGTCCGTCCAGACTACTGACTTAGTGCGCTGGCCCCTCCCAGCCCCCCACCCCGCTCCCCGTGGACAGCCCCCTGTCAGGGCCAGGGTCTGTCCCCCTGCCCTCACTGGCCCGTATCCCGGCCTGTCCCGCCCCTCGGGGTCAGGTGCCGGCTCTGGTGTGAGATCACGCCGGGAGGAACAGGGCGGCTACCTCTCATCCCATCAGCCGCCCTAGAAATTCCATCTGGTGGGTGTGACCTTGGTCCCGGCTGGTTCTCTGTCCTTTTCTCTTTACACGGTGGCCCAGGGGCTTAGGGACCTGGGACATGGCGGTGGAGCAGCTCCCAGCATCTCTTGGGGACCAGGAGGCAGCTCTGGGCCCCTCAGCAAACCTCCCCACCCGCAGAGGGGCCTCCTGGCCTTGGCCCTGGCTCCTCCAGGTCTCCAGGCCTAGGTGTGACCAGGTGGCCTGCAGGGCTGGCAAGTCGCGGCTGCAGGGCGCAGGGCATCAGCTGGCCTCGCCCTCCTTGGTCTGGGCTGCCCACCGTCCTCGCTGGCACTTTGCCCAGACCCGCAGAGCCCGCAGGGGCCTGTGCCGACCATCCGCCTTAGACACCCATGTGCCTTTCTCCAGGGGCCTGTGTTCGCCCGGGGCCCACGGGATCCCTGCCGTCTCCCTGTGCTGGGGCTCGGGTGCTACTGGAAGTTACTTGCCGAGGGGGGGATGTGGTGGTCCTTCCCGTTTGGGCTGTGAGTCTGGAGGACCTTGGGTGGCCCTCACGCTGCTCCAGCCTCCCCTGGCTCTGTGGCCCCGCCCCTAGCCACGCTCAGGGCCTGTGTCGGCCTGGGTTCCTCCTGCAGGAGCTTGGTTCCCCCAGGTGTGCTAGAGCAGGCCCAGGTAGACGTTGCTCCCACCTTCTCCCAGCCCCCCGAGACCTAGCCTTGGGTCCCCGTCCAGCCTGGGCCGAGGATTGCCTGTAGAATCTTCTCTCCTTGGCGTGTTAGTGGCTCTGTGTGGACTGGCCCCTGTGGTCTGTTCTTGGACGCAGCCAATTGGTGGACACTGGCAAATACCTCCTGGTTGGGTTCTGGGTGGCCAGGGAGCCATAAGGGATGACATTTAGGGGGCCCTGAAGGTACTGGGCTCTCCTCAATCACGGCTGACTTGGGGGCCCCCCCAGGGCCAGTGTGGCCTTTCCCCCAGTGCCACTATGTCGCTTGTGGCCCACGGTCAGGGTTCTGCTTCCCCCCACGTTCTGCACTGTTTCCCATGCGGGGCCGGGGCAGTCGGTGGGGGCTGGACTTGTGCCTGGTTCTGCTGGTTCGACACTGTGAGGTGGCAGTGGGATTCACCCTGATGCCACCCAATAAAATGCCTGTTACTTAATCGAATCAGTGGTCTTTCTGTTGGGGGTGACGGGGACCGGCCAACAGCTCCTCAGTCCGATGGTGTTGCCAGTGTGTCGTCCGTGTCAGGAGCGCAGTGCCCTCAGTGTGGTGGAGGGAGGGGCTGGCACTGATGTTTGGGAATCCGAGCTGGAGGTGGCGGGAACTCTGGGGTCAGACAGGCTGGGGCTGGGTGATCCTCAGAAAGTTACACGACCTCTCTGACCTGTCTCTTCATCTGTAAGAGGGGGATAATAATACACACACACATACACAGAGGTTGTCGTGAGAATTAAATGAGTTAATTCATATAAGTGCTTAGTACAGTGCCAGATACATAGTTAATGATGCAGAAATGTTACCGTTTACCCATTGTTGTAACAACCACTGTTAAGTGCTGAGATGGGTAATTTTATGTGTCAGCTTGGCTGGGCCACAGTGCCCAGATATTTAGTTAAACATTATTCTGGATGTTCCCGTGAAGGTGTTTTTTGGACAAGATTAACATTTAAATCAGTGGACTTGCAGATCACGCGCTCCGTAGTGTGGGTGGGCCGGCCTCATCCAATAGGTCGAAGGCCTTAACATAACAAAGATTGACCTCCCCTGAGCAAGAAGGAATTCTGCCAGCAGACGGGCTTTGGACTCAAATGCAGCTCTTCCCTGGGTCTCCGGCCTGCTGGCCTACCCTGCAGATTTTGGGTTTACCAAGCCTGCATCCTCATGTGAGCCAGGCCTTAGACTGCATCGCTCTGTCTCTGTGCGTCCTCGTGGTTCTGTTTCTCTGAAGAACCCTGACTAATGTACATGCAGGGACCTTGCATACGTTTTCTCACCTCCAACAGCTTGTGAAGTATGTTCCGCCATGCTCCCACTTTGCAGACGAGGAAACGGATGCAGCGAGCTGAAGGGACTGGCCCAGGGTGTGGTGTGTCTGGGACATAAACCAAAACCCATTCTCTGTCTTCCACCCGGAAGTCCACACTTGGTGCTGAACCGCCCGGGAAAGACCCGCTCAGCCGGCCGGGAGATGAGGCGGAGGGGGCAGCCGTGGCCCGGTAGCTGGAGCCCAGAATCCGTGGGTCCAAGCCCACGTGGGCCAGCTGGGGGGTGTCCATCCCAGCCTGTCTCCACCCCAAGATCATGTCAAAGGAGCTGTTCCGAAATCACATGGACACCTCCCCTCTGAGGCCCATCAGAGCTGCTGGGTGGAGGGTCTCAGCTGTGGGGAGGGGCATGGAGCCCTTCCTCCTCGGCAGCGCCCCCACCTGGCTCACCCAGGGGCTGCCACTCCTTTGTGCCAGAGAGGGGCTGGACTCACGGACAAAGGGCCGCACCCGGAGACCCCGGGCTGGAGCTCGCTGAGGGGAGGGGAGAGGAGCCGGGGGAGGAGAGGGTCTGCATCTTATAGTCGGGGGTACGCAGGCCAGTTGATGTTTTTGAATGAGTGGAGTGACTTGCTCCAGGTCACGGGGACAGTAGCAGGGTTGGCTCGTTACGAGGCAGTGCCTTACCTACCCAGTCTCATGACCTTGACGTTGACCTTCCCAGGTAACAGTTACCTGCCTTCTATGGAGGGACTGGTGGAGGTCAGGTGTAGCTCGAGGTCGCACGGCTGGTTAGCAGGAGGGCCGGGGTTGGAACCTGGGTCTGCGGGTGTCCACAGCCCGTGCCCCTTGCCACCTGCTCCATCGGGTTCCCATCTCCCAGCTGCCCCCCTCCACGTCATTGTACCCTGCCTTCCCCCAACGGGGCGCCTTGGCCTCCATGTCAGCCAGGGCAGGGGGTGGCCGAAAGCTGTTCTCACTCTGTTCCTTCTGCCCTCGTCCCCCGACGGGCTGGTGGCTCCCGAGGGCCCAGTGCAGGCCTCTTTGCATGGTCACCACAGCAAGTCCCCATGTCCGCGGTGGCCCGCGGAGCCTCTTCATTTCCCTGCGGTGGCTGGGGGCCCGGCCCCGGTCTGGCCTCAGAGCGTGAACCATTTGCCTGAGGCCGGACGTCCCTGCCGCCGCCGTTCCGCGGCTGCCGGTGGGGCGTGCGCTCTAAGGAAATGAGGGGCCGCCCGTGCTGGCCCGGAGCTCCCGGGGGCTGGAGGAAGCGGCACGGTGCAGACCCACCCTCCTTGCGGAGTCACGTCTTCATTTTCATCAATTCACCCACCCCCGCGTTCATCCTCACAATTCCCGTATGTTCTCTGTCTAGGGGCAGCCTGGTAAGTAGTAGGGGGCAGCCTGAGTTGAACGCAGGCCGTGGGCCGGGCATTGTGCTAAATGCTTTAGCTGTCACGTCCTCGGAGCCTCACCGCAACTCCGAAGGTACAGTCTGTTACTCCCATTTCACAGATGAGGAGACTGAGGCACCGGCAAACGAAGTAACTAGTGCATCAGGAGGAGACGACCGCCTGGGTTTCCGTCCCCACCTCTGCCTGCCATCAGCACCGCCGCGCCGCCCTGGAGCACAGCCCTGGGCTCCAGTCCCGCCTCGACCCCTCTTGCCTGGGCCTTGGCTCCCCACACTCAGACGTGACCTTTCCCAGGGAGCTGCGGGTCAAATGGCAGGTTTAGGAACAAAGCGCCAGGTCCCGCGCCCTGCGCAGAGTGAGATGCTCGAGGGAGAACATATTTCAACCGCTCCCGCCACAGCTTCACCGGGACACCCATGCCCGGGAGGGGGGCAAAGCCAGCTTCACCGGGCGCCTGTGCATGGCCTGTGCTCCTGCTCGTTCTGGGCCACACCAGCCTGTGAGGGAGGCGGTGTTATTTTGGCCCCATTTCACAGAGGGGGAAACGGAGGCTGAGGGAGGGGCAGGGGCACAAGCAGAGCTTGTTCCTGATGGCCCTGCCAGCCGCCCGCCCTGTGCCTCGCAGGCATCCAGCACCTTCTGGGTGGGAGCCGTGCAGCCATCACAGCTGCCGCCGGGGCTCGAAACTCAAGCAGCCAGCCTTGTCCCCTCACATGGGTTGTGGCAGCCGCCCCGGGTGTGGCGCGGGTGCACTCGACTCTCAGGCGCCCTCGGTCCATCAGAATTCCGTCCCGGAGCCCTGTCGTGCCCTCCTCCAGGCCCCTGTGCCCAGGCAGGTACCCTCAGTCCCTGCAGCATTTGGCACAGAGGCCGGGGTGAGCCAGGGAGCTGATGTTCTGTTGGGCACCCGCTCCGTGCCGTGCATCAGGGCAGGCATCACTGGCAGGGGAGTGAGGCTCAGGGAGCAAAGGGCCTGGAAGAGGTCATAGAGCCAGTAAGCGGCAGAGCCAGGATGGGAACCCGGGTCGGTCGGATCTGAGTCTCAGGAAGATGAAGATGTACAGTCATAGACCCAGCCTTTTACTGGGGCAAAAATCGAGGGGCCTGTACCAGCTCCATGCCAGGAAGGAAGCCATCAACACCGTAGTATAATATTGGCCATCATTTACTGGGCAGGTGCGTGATGTGTAATCTCATTTAATCCTCCTCATGGAGGGCGGCTGTGGCCATTTCATAGATGAGGACGCTGAGAGGAGGCAGCCTGCTGGCTGGGCCCTCTGGGGCCCCACGGAACAGGACCGCCCTCCTCCTCATCCCAGCCTGTCATGCTCCCGTCGAGAGCTCCCTGAGCCTCTCCCTCCCCACGCGGAACATCCCCAGTCCTTCACCTGCTCCCTCTGGGACAGGGTTCCTGGTTCTTTGTCCACTTTGTCACATCCTCTGGTGGTGCCAAGGAGAGCAGTCTAGAG